GATTACAGCTTTGTCATAGAGTTTGACTGGAATTGTGATGCCACCAACTTTGGTTTTCTCTTTCAACATTCCTCTTCCTATTTGGGAACATAAATTTTAGTACTGTTTGCTCCATTTAAAAAAAAATATTTTATTTATTTATTTGACAGAGAGTTCACAAGTAGGCAGGGAGGCAGGCTGGCAGAAGGGGAGGCAGGCTCCCTGCTGAGCAGAGAGCCCGATGCGGTGCTTGATCCCAGGACCTTGAGATCATGACCTGAGCCGAAGGCAGAAACAACTTAACGACTGAGCCAACCTGGCTGCTCCTGTTTGTTCCATTTCTGTGAAAAAAAGTTGATGATGGTATTTTGATAGTCATTGCATTGAATGTGTAGATTGCTTTAGGTAGCATAGACATTTTCACAATATTTGTTCTTCCAGTCCATGAGCATGGAACGTTTTTCCATTTCTTTGTGTGTCTTCCTCAATTTCTCTCATGAGTATTCTATAGTTTTCTGAGAACAAATCCTTTGCCTCTTTGTTTAAATTTATTCCTAGGTATCTTATGATTTTGGGTACAATTGTAAATGGTATCAACTCCTTAATTTCTCTTTCTTCTCTCTTGTTGGTGTATAGAAATGCAACTGATTTCTGTGCATTGATTTTGTATCCTGCCACTTTACTGAATTCTTATATGAGTTCTAGCAGATTTGGAGTGGAATCTTTTGGGTTGTCCACATACAGTATCATATCATCTGCAAAGAATGAGAGTTTGACTTCTCCTTTGCTGATTTGGATGCCTTTTATTTCTTTTTGTTGTCTGACTGCTGAGGCTATGACTTCTAGTAGTATATTAAATAGCAGTGGTGATAGTGGACAGCCCTGCCATGGTCCTGACTTTAGGAGAAAAGCTTTCAGTTTTTCCCCATTGAGAATGATACTCGCTGTGAGTTTTTCATAGATGGCTTTTATGATATTGAGGTATGTACCCTCTATCCCTACACTGGGAAGAGTTTTAATCAAGAAAGACTGCTGTACTTTGTCAAATGCTTTTTCTGCATGTATTGAGAATATTATATGGTTCTTGCTCTTTCTTTTATTAATGCATTGTATCACATTGATTTGCGGGTGTTGAACCAACCTTGCAGCCCAGGAATAAATCACACTTGCTTGTGGTGAATAATCCTTTCAATATACTGTTGGACCCTATTGACTAGTATTTTGGTGAGAATTTTTGCATCCATGTTCATCAGGGATATTGGTCTGTAATTCTCCTTTTTGATGGGGGAGATGGGTTTTGTCTGGTTTTGGGATCAAGGTAATGCTGGCCTCATAAAATGAGTTAGGAAGTTTTCTTTTCATTTCCATTTTTTGGAACAGTTTCAGAAGAATAGATATTAATTCTTTAAATGTTTGATAATAGGGCTACCTGGTTGGCTCAGTGGATTAAAGCCTCTGCCTTCAGCTCAGGTCATGATCCTGGGGTCCTGGGATCGAGCCCTGTGTTAGGCTCTCTGCTCAGCAGGGAGCCTACTTCCTCCTCTCTCTCTCTGCCTGTCTCTCTGCCTATTTGTGATCTCTGTCAAATAAATAAAATCTTTGAAAAATAAAAAAAAATATAGGGAAAATCTTCATAACATTGAATTTGGCAATGATTTTTAAGTATGACATCAAAAACATAAACAAAAAAATACACATAAATTGGACATAATCAAAATTTAAAATGTACATCAAAAGACACTATCAAAAGAGTTAAAAAAAATAAATGTTTGATAATATTCCAATGGGAAGCTGCCTGGCCCTGGGCTCTTGTTTGTTGGGAGATTTTTGATGACTGCTTCAGTCTCCTTACTGGTTATGGGTTTGTTCAGGTTTTCTATTTCTTCCTGGTTTAATTTTGTTAGTTTATAGTCTTTAGGAATGCATCCATTTCTTCCAGATTGTCAAATTTGCTGGTGTATAGTTGCTCGTAATATGTTCTTATAACTGTTTGTATTTCTTTGATATTGGTTTTGATCTCTCCTCTTTCATTCATGATTTTATTAATTTGGGTCCTTTCTCTTTTCTTTTTGATACATCTGGTCAGGGGTTTATCAATCTCATTAATTCTTTTGAAGAACCAGCTCCTAGTTTCATTGATCTGTTCTACTGTTCTTTTGGTTTCTATTTCATTGATTTCTGTTCTGATCTTTATTATTTCTCTCTTCCTGCTGGTTTAGGCTTTATTTGTTGTTCTTTCTCCAGCTCCTTTAGGTGTAGGGTTAGGTTGTGTATTTGAGACCTTTGTTGTTTGTTGAGAAAGGCTTGTATTGCTATATACTCTCCTCTTAGGACTGTCTTTGCTGTATCTCAAAGATTTTGAACAGTTGTATTTTTATTTTCATTTGTTTCCATGAATTTTTAAAATTCCTCCTTAATTTCCTGGTTGACCCAGTTATTCTTCAGTAGATTGCTCTTTAGCCTCCATATTTGAGGTCTTTCCAACTTTTCTCTTGTGGTTAAGTTCTAGTTTCAAAGCATTGTCATCTGAAAATATGCAGAGAATGATCCCAATCTTTTGATACCAGTTGAGACCTGATTTGTGGCCCCGGATGTGATCTATCTGGAGAATGTTCCATGTGCACTAGAGAAGAATGTGCATTCTGTAGCTTTGGGATAGAATGTTCTGAATATATCTGTGATGTCCATCTGGTCCAATATGTCATTTAAAGCTTTTATTTCCTTGTTGATCTTTTGCTTAGATGATCGTCCATTTCAGTGAGGAGGGTGTTAATGTCTCCTCTATTACTGTATTATTGTCAGTGTGCTTCTTTGATTTTGTTATTAATTGGCTTAGATAATCGGCTGCTCCCATGTTAGGAGCATAAATATTTACAATTGTTAGATCTTTTTATTGGATAGACCCTTTAAGTATGATATAGTGTCCTTCCTCATCTCTTATTATAGTCTTTGGTTTAAAATGTAATTTCTCTGATACAAGGATTGCCACCCCATCTATCTTTTGATGTCCATTAGCATGATAAATTGTTTTCCACCCCCTCACTTTAAATCTGGAGGTGTCTTTGGGTCTGCAATGAGTCTCTTGCAGACAACATATCAAGGGGTCTTGCTTTTTAATTTAATCTGATACCCTGTATGTTTTGATTGGGGCATTTAGCCAATTTACATTCAGGTTGACTATCAAAAGATATGAATTTAGCGCCATCATATTGCCTGTAAGGTGACTGTTGCTGTATATTGTCTCTGTTCCTTTCTTGTCTGTGTTACTTTTGGGCTCTCTCTTTGCTTAGAGGACCCCTTTCAATATTTCCTGTAGGGCAGGTTTGGTGATTGCAAATACTTTTAGTTTCTGTTTGTCATGGACGTATCTCATGGTTTTAATTTGCATTTCCTTCATTAGCTTCTAACTGAAATTTAGCCTTTCTTTTATTATCAACATATCTCTTATTATCAACTTAACCACTGGCATCAGTACTTCCCATGATTTTAGCATCAGTGGAAATCAATAGTGATCATAGGTATCTCAGAATTCATTGTGCTCTTCCATACTTCAAAACTTTGTTACTTATTAGACCTCAGGCTTGGCTTTATTAATATATTCATAAGGATGCATATATCTTACTATATCACAAGTTTATTTTTTAAATATTGGATGAATATTTTTCAGTTTTTGGAGGAGGGGTAATCCTGTGTGCTTAAGTCCTGAATTTAAAAACATTCTATGAAGGGATCTGTGGTCTTCATCAGGCTACCACAGTGGCTCATAATGTGCCACAAAAACACTGCTGAAATGCTCATTTATGAAGAGAAAGAGAAAAGCTTGAGAGGAGATGCTCTATGAAGTGAAGTAGTTGTTTTTTTTGTTGTTGTTGTTTGACTCAAGTATATTTCTGCTGCTGAGAGAGGGAAGTTAAAGCTCTTAGAGAAGGGGGTGATAACAAGATCCTGGCCCATGAGAGCTGTGTGAGGAGAGATGATGATCCAGAGCACAGGTGGTGGGATTAGGCTTGGATAAGAGTGGAAGGTAAAGGCATTTCATCTTGAGTTCTGAGGAATGAATGGGAGCAGGTGGAAGCTGGTCAGGAAGCTGAGTAAGTCCTATTTTATAACATTCTTTACTTCCTTTTTGGGCAGAAGTCCAGGTCACCTGCTGAGTAGGGTAGTGGAAGAAGGAGCTTGAGGAGTACAGGAAATTTTCTAACAAAGAATTCTGGAGTATGTCTTGAAGTTTAGACAGTAAGCTTAACCTTGGGATAGGAGAGTAAATAAGATAGTCCTCTTCCCCAAGTAACTAAGCCTCTTGGTGAGGAATACAGACATATAAATAAATAAATACATAAAAGGAAGCACTGCTGTTAATCTGAGGTTGGAGGGCTGGAAGAGGAGGTTAGGGAAGGTGGCATTTGAGCAGATTCAATTTTATTGAGTATAAGGGTGCCAGGGAGAAATGTGTAGGAAGAAAGGAGAGTATTTGTAATGGCATGGATGTATGGATGAGCAGGGCTAATTAAAAAAGAGATATAAATATAAATTTTTACAGATATAATATAGATATAAATATTCATTTAGAAAAATGCATAAATCACAGGTGCATATAGCTTGATGAATTTTCACAAAGTGAACGCTCCCACGTAACGAGCATCTAGGTCAAGCAACAACATCACCAATAGGCAGGGCTAATTTGAAACAGATAGTGAGAATTTGGGAAAGGAGGCTGGAGGGAGGGCAGACAGGGTCTTACTGTGTTGGTTTGTGGGAGCAGGGAGGGGAGGGAAGTGGGATGGGATGTGAGGATGGACATGGCCTGGCTTTTTCCTTTATGGTCAAGGAGGGATCATGTTTCTGTCTGTTCTGGCACTTTGTAAAGTTTAAGTTACTGTGTTTATCTTGTTTGTTTAGAAGAGATTACTTTCTTACCAAATGATTATGTCATTGTATACATCATGTAAGATTTTAGAGGGGTAGTTTAAAAAGCATATTTGAAAGTTAATTTGTTTTCTCTACTTTCTCTTTTTACTCAGGGATATTATGTGTACCATGACATGCTAGGAGAAAAAGGAGATTTCATAACTTCACCGGAAATAAGTCAGATCTTTGGGGAGGTAATATTCAATGTAAACTATAAAAGAAACTAATATCACAAATATTTGGAAGCAGGTCACGTTGTACTCTTCTTTAATATAGTGTTATACAGCTTTGTTTTTGTGATTCAGGTTTCCTTTTTTTTTAAGTTTTCATTTTTAATCATATACATGCCGCAGAAATAGAGAACAATAGAGGAAAGAGAGATCAGTGAAGAGAGAGAGAAAAGGTGCAAAACACTAAGGAGTTAGTGGGGAGAGGCTCTAAAGCCCCTGCCCAAGATTGCACCATAGTCAGAGCAGAAGTCCCCTGTAACAAATTGTGAACTCTTTTTAGGGATTCTAGTTCATTGATTTCTGCATAAAAACCCCTTGTTAAATTTAGATATAGGAAATAGTAACTAAAAGGAAGTAGAATCCAGGTATTAAAAAATGTTAATTATGCATAAAAAGCCACGTAATTACTGAAATCATATGAATATGAAGAAAGGCATAACCCTATTCCATGTTTATTCGTTATCAAAGACTAGCACCTTCCTGTAAGTGATTCCTCTTACGTGTATTATGAGATCTCTTACAGGGGGAAGTGCCTTTTAACTGTTTTCTCCTGTTACTAAGCTTTCTAAGTGGTGTCTTTTCTAATGTCTCCATGAAGCTTCTGCGTGTGCATACATACATGTACATATTGAGTAACATACATACATAATTTGTTTGCAAACATTTTGCCTTCTGGCATAAAGTATGTATTTATGTGGAATTTTATATTGTGCTATACTTTTATAATACTTCAGTGTAGTTTTTTCCCCTTGTCACAGCTGCTAGGTATATGGTTCATTAGTGAATGGATGGCCACTGGAAAAAATGCAGCTTTCCAGCTTGTGGAATTGGGCCCAGGAAGGGGTACCCTCACAGGAGATATTTTGAGGGTAGGTAATGAAAGAATGTCTTTAGATCCTCATGTACTCATCTGAATCTGTGCTTTTGACTTGTGTGCAAACTCCATTGACTTCCTTGGCTTTTAGTCCTATCTCCTTAACCGCCTCTATTTCTCAGCTGAAGTACAACGTCAGAATAATACAATGAATGATAACTTACTGTTGTCTGTTTGTAATTTTTAAAAAATGAGGGTGGGAGAGAATGTGAAAGGTAGAAGTCAAAACATTTAGAAGACATTGGAAGCGTGTATTTGTCTTCTAAGTAGGAAAAGAGTTTTTGAATTGTATAAAAAGCAGAAGCCAGAAAGGAAAAGATAAATAGAAGGGTAATTTCAACTACATTAAAGAATTTTTTGTTCTTTTTTTTTTTTTTTTTTAAGATTTTATTTATTTGTCAGAGAGCACAAGCAGGGGGAGCAGTAGGCAGAGGGAGAAGCAGACTCCCCACTGAGCTCGGAGCCTGATGTGGGACTCGATCCCCGGGATCATGACCTGAGTCAAAGGCAGATGCTTAACTGACTGAGCCACCCAGGCATCCCGAATATTTTGTTCCTTAAAGAAATTAGGAACTTCTGTTCTTCAGAGACACTGTAAAGAGAGGGATAAGCCAAGCGGCAGAGTGGGAGGAGTTATTTACAACACATAACCTACAAGGAAGTGGTAGTTAGAATACATAAAGAATTCCTTTCAGTTGTTAAGGTGGTGACAGATAACTCAATAGAAAAGTCAGACTGAAGATGTGAACAGGCCCAGCATGAAAGAGGAAATCCACATGGGCAGGAAAAACAAAAAAATGCTCAGGCTGGTTGGGGGTCAGGGAAGTGAAAGTTAAAATCACAGTGACATACCACTGTACCCTCCAGTGAGAAGATTTGGTAGTACCAAGCGTTGGTGAGGATGGGGAGATTTGGCACAGAGGGGACTCTCAGACTGTAAGACCATGATTTGGGGTAAGCACTTTGGAGTGCTTATTAGGCATCATCTGCTAACGTCTATATTCTTCTACTGTGCGACCCAGCGGTTTTCCTGCTGGATATATGCCCTCCAGAAATGAGGGCATATATGTTCCAGGATGCATGTACAAGAAGACAGCATTGTTTAGAATAGCTGAAAAGCTGGAAACAACCCCAATGACTATCAGTGGGAAAATAGATCAATAAATTGTGATACAAGGGCGCCTGGGTGGCTCAGTGGGTTAAGCCTCTGCCTTCGGCTCAGGTCATGATCTCAGGGTCCTGGGATCGAGCCCCGCATCGGGCTCTCTGCTCAGTGGAGAGCCTGCTCCCCTCCCCACCCGTCTGCCTCTCTGCCTACTTGTGATCTCTGCCTGTCAAATAAATCAATAAAATCTTTAATAAATAAATAAATAAATAAATTGTGATACAGTCATACAGTGGAATGCCAAGGGTTGTGCAAATGTGTGAAATCACAGCAGAATGCACGATGTTCAGATGAAACTCAGCATCTTGTTGGGTAAAAACACCAATTTATACAAGAATTCATATCATTTGATTGTATTACATAAAATCCTTAAATAGTCAGCATTAAACAATATGTGTTTGGTGATTCAAATGTGTTCAGTAACATTTTTAAAGCAAAAGCGGGACGTATAAACTCCAGATTGAGAATGGTGGTTGAGCTCTGAGGGTGAGGGAGAACGTGGGGGCTCCAACAGGAAGGGTCAGGTCACTTCCCTTTAATCAGAGATAGCTGATATTTTTCCATGGATTGTTCTTTCTTCTATTCTACCTAATATTGTCTAAAAACATTAAAAAGGAGTTATTTAGGGTGCCTGGGTGGCTCAGTTGGTTAAGCGACTTTCAGCTTGGGTCATGATCCTGGAATCTTGGGATCGAGTCCCACATCGGGCTCCCTGCTCAGTGGGGAGTCTGCTGCTCCTTCTGACCCTCCCACTTCTCATGCTCTCTTTCTCCCTCATTCTCTCAAATAAAAAATAAAGAAAATGTGGCACTAATTTTTTTTTTTAAAAAAGGAGGAATTTGGTTTATAGTATATGATAAGTACTTGTATTTATTAAACTTTGATAGCTACACTGCTTTGGAATCCATTAGTCTTTTTTAGTTTATCTTAAGTGTATCTGGCAATTCATTGTAAAAAAAAAAACATATTCAGTATACATTTAAATGTCTTGGTGCTGTATGATTTTTGCTTGAAATTAGGAATCAAAGGCTTTTAAACAATTTGTAACATCTGACAGATAATCCTGATTATATCTATTGTCTTTGTGGGGCAATAGAAAAAAAACACTGATTTATGTTTCTGGAGCTCTATTTTATATCTCTTTAAATTGGCAAAGTCATTTGAATATTTAATAATTTGCTCAAATAATACTGTCTTGTTTCAAGTACTTTAAAAACAATCCCATAGCTCTTAAAATGTATAAAGGATACTTCCTTAGAACAAGTGTTAAGAACCTTAAAAAGCCAAAGAATTTAAAGGAATGTTAAGAAAATAGACATATTTACAGATTTGTTTTCATTTCTTGATCATAATTTCTGAAGGATTTTTCTCTTGGGAAGTTTTTCTCTTTGTAGTTTCATTTCAAAACAAAATTTGGAAAAATCGTGTCCTTACTATCAGTCTCTACCTACATATTTCAGATCTTAAAAGTAGGAGGCAAATCACCAATGAAAATTGAATTCAGATGAAAAATAATATTGATGTACTTTATGCTTTGACATTGAATTTTTAGCATTAAAATATTGATAAAATATTAGTATATTCCTTTTCCCCCATGTTTACAAGTTATAAAAATGTGTTTAGCTAAGAAAAAAATTAAAAATGTGAAAGAATTACGAAGTTTTTAGTGCCACTCAAATTTTATTTCCTGAAGATACAGTTTAAACATCTCAAAGATGAGATTATTTCATAGACATAGCGGCTTTATAAAATTAAGGGTATCTGTACGATTTATTTTCTTGTTCTTTTTAGATCCCTTAATCTGCTTATTTATTGGATGTTAAATCTTTAATTTTCATTTACTCGTCAGTCTAATTTTTATTTTAGGAAACCAAATCGTGTACTGTTCATCTCTTCTGTGGATAGTGTGTAATAGGTTGGTTATGATTCTCACAGACTGCTGGAGAGTGGCTTGTGTGGAGAGCAGATGCCTCCAAAACCAAATTTTATTCCTGTAACATGAGTGAATTATTGAGGTGAATGGTTAGAAAACCCCAAATCTGCCCAACCCATTGTATTTTGCCCTTTACCCCTTCTTTTGTCTTTAGGTGTTCAGTCAGCTTGGATCTGTGCTGAAAAACTGTGACATTTCAATACATCTGGTAGAGGTGAGCGAAAAATTGAGTGAGATTCAAGCTTTAACACTGACGGAAGAGAAGATCCCGCTAGAGCGGAGTGCTGGGTCCCCCGTACGTATGAGAGGCGTTACTAAAGCTGGGATTCCAATCTTGTGGTACCGAGATCTGCAGGATGTTCCAAAAGGTAATTCGTTCACACAACGTAATGCAATCATTTTGATTGCGTCCCGTCCCAGCAGTGATGGTGAGCAGAGCCACAGCGGGCGCGCTAGTAGACTGAGTTAGTGCTGCCAGGTCCCTGACTCATAGGGAAGAGCGAATCCTTTTCTCGAAAAGAGCACTGTATTAGAAAGTAACATGGCTCGCAATAGGAGCAGTGAATGTCCTGGGGTTTTGCAAAAATGACAGTGTCATCTCTGTTGTACCTTTTAGTTTTTCCTGACCCATAAGATAGCACTGATGGGGGTGGGGATGCGGGGCCCTGACGGACCTCTTGATCTCAGCTCAGGTCTTGATCTCAGGGTCATGAGTTATGGTCCCACATCAGGCTCCTCACTGGAACCTACATAAAGAAAAGAAAAAAGAAAGAAAAAGAAAAAGAAAAAAGAAATCGTGGGATACAGATAGGACGCAGCGCTGGTGGGTTTAGTTTAACTGTCTTCATCTTTTGACCGTTCTTGCTGGCCTTTTCGTGGGGAGGGAAAATCCCTGCACTGGGCGGTGGAGGCCCTGCTCACACCTGCAGGGGCGCCCTGGTCTCGGGGAAGCCATCTCAGCAGGCCTCCGCTCAGCTGTCTCCGATGATGTTAGCAAGTTCAAAGCCTCTTGGAGCTAACAAGTTAGAGTCCTGATTTCTTTCATGCCTGGTGAGGGATAAAAGATTTAACTGATTCTTGAGACATTCTGGTTGTCTGATCCTGCTGTGTGGAGAATGAACTGCAATGTTCTTCTCCGTTCTGCACAGTAGGTGAAGACGTGAGGGGATGATTGTCCGTAGACATGGCTGTGGGAGCCCCTGGGTTCCCACGCAAAATACTAGCATTTTCTTTTCTTTTTTTTTTTGAGTGTTTGAAAAGAAAGATTTAAGTATTGCCTTAAAAATGCTGAAAGTTTTTTCCTTCTGTTTTTAAATAGGGTACAGCTTTTATCTGGCACATGAATTTTTTGACGTTCTTCCTGTGCATAAGTTTCAGGTATTGATGGGATAAAGTCATTAATTGAATAGCAAAAGGCTTTATGTTGAAGGAAAAACATTTATGGTATTTCATTATTGTTGACGGTGACTATATTTGGAATTCCGATGAATAGAAATAATTGAAAAGCAAAAGTCAAGTATTAAGTAGAACCTTCATTCTCTTAGGATAACTAGTAAGAATGCTTATTTCTCCAGGGATAAAGATGTGCACGAATTTAAGATGGTAAATGGCTATAGTACAAGGAAGGGTTACATTTAGCAAATAGCTTTCATATCCAAAGACTAAAATGTTTCGTCATTGAAGTTGAAGTGAAAGTTCAGATTTGGTGGTAGTGTATGTGCGCCAGTAGTTTCTGAGGCTGAGAGCGCGTACTGATTTGTTAGCGGAGGCTTCAGAGTCTGCTCTCTGCTGTTGGGGGCGCCTGCCCTGCTGCTCATTTTCTCTCTGTGGCTCCGCCTCTTATCTCGCCAACACCAGTTCACGCCTTCCAGTCGACTCTTACTGTTCAAAGGAAATGAAGTATTGCCTTTTTAAATTTTTTTTTAACATATGACATATTATTAGCCCCAGGGGTACAGGTCTGTGAATCAGCAGGTTTACACACTTCACAGCACTCACCATAGCACATACCCTCCCCAGTGTCCATAACCCCACCACCCTCTCCCTACCCCTCTCCCCCTGGCAACCCTCAGTTTGTTTTGTGAGATTAAGAGTCTCTTATGGTTTGTCTCCCTCCCGATCCCATCTTGTTTCATTTCTTCTTTTCCTTCCCCCCAATGCCCCCCCCCGCAAGTTGCTTCTCCACTTCCTCCTATCAGGGAGAGCATATGATAGTTGTCTTTCTCTGATTGACTTATTTCGCTAAGCATAATACCCTCTAGTTGCGACAACCCACATCTTAACAAATGGCAAGATTTCATTTCTTTTGATGGCTGCATAGTATTCCATTGTATATATATACCACATCTTCATCCATTCATCTGCTGATGGACATCTAGGTTCTTTCCATAGTTTGGCTGTTGTGGACATTGCTGCTATAAAATTCGCGTGCACATGCCCCTTCGGATCACTACATTTGTATCTTTAGGGTAAATACCCAGTAGTGCAATTGCTGGGTCGTATGGTAGCTCTATTTTCAACTTCTTGAGGCACCTCCATGCTTTTTCCAGAGTGGTTGCACCAGCTTGCATACCAACAGTGTAGGAGGGTTCCCCTTTCTCCACAGTATTGCCTTTTTTTGAGTGGTAAAGTAAATGTCATCTGTTGTGTATGGTAGGAGGAGAAAAATAATAAGTTACTTTTAGTAGAGGCAATTTGAGAAAAAACTGATAAAAATGTGTTTTTATGCATTATTTTGTGTTCAGAAAACACCCCAGGGGTGGCGAGAAGTACTCATTGATATCGACCCACAAGTTTCTGATAAGCTGCGGTTTGTTTTGGCGCCTGGTGTCACGCCAGCAGAAGTCTTCATACAAGTAGGAAGTTTTTTCTTCTTACTTTATTGCCAACCAAATCTTCATAGTCTCGTTATCTGAGTTCCTGTTTTAGCATTCCCTTTTTTTTTTTTTTTAAGGATTTTATTTATTTATTTGACAGAGATCACAAGTAGGCAGAGAGGCAGGCAGAGAGTGGGGGGAAGCAGGCTCCCTGCTGAGCAGAGAGCCCGATGAGGGGCTCAATCCCAGGACCCTGGGATCATGACCTGAGCCAGAGGCAGAGGGTTTAACCCACTGAGCCACCCAGGTGCCCCGTTTTAGCATTCCTTCCTTGATGGGGCAAGGGGAGAGTTGCTTATAAGACATGAGGTGCTTTTTATTAATAGTGATCGAGTCAGGAGCCTAGGTCAGATCATCTCAGGAAGGCATGACCTGAACGCCCTGTGAGGAGGAATGTAGTAAGTGCTTACTCAGGCATGTCCTGCCCCTTTCCCCTTTCCCTCAGTTCCCTGTGACATGGTCATAGTAGCATCTGCCTGTCCAGAAGAGTTTGAGGTGTGTGAAAACTATTTATTGAGCACTTTGTATGTATTCCTCTTAATTTTCTCATTTAATGCTCAAAACTTTATGAATTTATTAGTTTAATTAAATAAGTTTGATACTAGATGGCCAGAATGGTGCGTTTGCTGCTGCTTTCTGTTGGCCTCAAGGAGTAATAGCAAGAGTCTTTCTAACTTGGGGTCATGTGTAGGGGTCCAAAAAACGCTATGCTTGTCAGGAATCTTTAGGCTTAGATTGCCTGTTTTATTTATTTTTTTAAATCAGGAATGGTGGTGATTTTTAATAGTTTACAGCTACAGTATCTAATCATATATATATAGTTACAGACAATAAATATCCATACGGCAAAATATTTACCTCTAGACAGACAAAAAATATCTTTGCAACTAAATAAACAGCTTTAAGTAATAATGAATAAAAATAGAAGCTGAGGTAATTTTTCATCTAAAGTGATTATAGCCTATATTAGGGGCACTTGGGTGACTCAGTTGGTTAAGCATCTGCCTTTGGCTTAGATCATGATCTGTGGGACCTGAGATTGAGCCCCCTGTTGGACTCCCTGCTCGGCGGGGAGTCTGTTTCTCCCTCTCCTCCCTGTTAATGTTCTCTTCACTCCTTCAAATAAATAAAATCTTAAAAAAAATAAAGTAACTATAGCCTATGTTAAAACACTCTAATTTTAAGAGTTCAAATAATTACGAAAGCCTTGTTTCATAACTAAAAATATAACTAATACACATTTTCAAACTAAACAAAAAATATTTTAATTATAGATAGGTAAAATAGATTATTGCTGAAATTCAATCATGACATTTTATATATATATATATATGTATGTATGTATTTACTTATTTGGGGCAATTAATTTGGGGACTTTGTTGATAGCCTGACCTTTTAACAATAAAAAAGTGAAATTCATGAAAACTTTCTAAGAATCTACATATTATCCTAATGCAAATTACATATATGTACATGGGGTTTTCATTCTGGATGAGCAGTCCATTCTCTTTCTTTAAAAACTATATCCCAGCTATGTAAAACTGCTTAATTTCTCTTAAAGGATCATTTCTTAATAAGATGTACACTGGTATGAGAAGGGCATTTTGAAACTTCCTTAGATGGTGAAACGTGAAAGGTTGAGTGTGGACAACATAATGCATATGGAGAAGGAATTTATTTTTATTGTAACTAAGAAATGCTCATTGTACAAAAACCCTAAGGAAACTGTTTTCAGTAATGCATTTGGATTTACCTGTTCCCTTATTAGCGTGATGAAATGAGGGATCACGTGGAAGTGTGTCCTGAGGCCGGTGTTATCATTCAGGAGCTTTCTCAGCGCATCGCACTAACCGGAGGTGCAGCACTGATCGCCGATTATGGTCATGAGGGAACCAAGACAGACACCTTCAGGGTATGTATGACTCAGGAACATGACTTCCCATCAGTTCATTGGTATCATCTCTGAAGTTGTTAACATTTGAAGCTCACTGAAGATCTTTACCTTTGCTTTCTATGGTGCCTAGCCTTGTAGTATTACAGTGTTTATAGTGAATATTAATACATATTATCATTACCCTTAACCATAGGATTTCACCTTCCAGACTAGCCTTGGAACAGGGTCTGAATCGTCTACATTCTGCTTCAGCTGCAGAACCTAGGTCTGCATAGATCCTACTTAGCATCTGAATAATACAAATGGGAAGATTTTCTTAAAGTTAAGAATTTCCCCCCTCCATTAAAAAAAAATTTTTAGTACTTCTATGCAAATTTGATTTAGCTACTATGATCAGACTTTTCCTATCATATTTTCAATCTTTTTTCCTTTCTAGATGTATTCTTTTATTCTACCTGAGCATCCTTCCTTATGTTCTTTATCAGTTGTGTTGAATATCCTTTAATTGAAATACATTTCAGTGAATACTACTATTAGTCATTTTCTAGATCTGTGGTTCTCAAGTTCTAATTTTATTGTATCTTAAAAACAAAACAAAACAAAACACCCCTGGAATTTTTTTTAAAACATGCTGATTCCCTAGCCTTCCCTCCAGGATTTGGATTCAGTAGGTCTGGGCAGTGCAGTAACGTGGGCTCAGGAGATTCTGGTGCGCGTAGTTGATGGATACACCTTGTCAAACACCATCTAGAGTCTGTTGAAAGTTTAACTTGATTCTAGTAAGAAACAAGTTAACACCCATGGAGAACTGATGGGATCTCTACTCCATCACCACAAGCAGTAATGAAATGTGAAAGGCAGCATTTCCAGGCACCCAGTGTCGCACTTTATGTCAGATTTTGCACATAGCATCTCCTTTGAGGAAAGGGTGCTCCTATATTAAGAGTTTATAAACCACTGACTTAGGCTATGTTTTTCTTTCCAACAGTTAGGTAAAGTATACTAAAATGATAGAATTTCTTGAATTTTGATAATAATAACCATAAAGGGACAAAAACTTATCATTTTAAAAATTGTGTTCAAGGGGTTTTGTGGCCACAAGCTTCATGATGTCCTGACTGCCCCTGGAACGGCGGACCTCACAGCCGATGTGGACTTCAGTTATCTGCGCAGAATGGCAGGGGGACAAGTAGCTTCTCTCGGGCCAATAAAACAACAGATGTTTTTAAAAAATATGGGCATTGATGTCCGGCTGAAGGTAATGATTTATTTCAGGATCATTAAATATTTTTATTTTGTAGTATTTCATAAAAACGTTTCAAGTGATAAGATCCCCCAGCCTCAGTGCTCTTCTCCGTCAGCAGGCCTGGATACTGTGGTCTTTCTGGTAGCATTGGGCCTGGTGCAGCCGGGCTGCCCGGGCTGGGGCCACCGAGCACGCCCCTGCATCTCCACACGAGCTAGCATGAAGACTTTGAATAGTGTTCATGCCCAGTAGGAAAAGTTGACTGTGTTTATGGGGATAATTTTACAAGGGTCCTGAAGACATCTTAACTCTTCAGTGAAAATCAAACCACCGGGTAATGTTTGTTAAACATACAAATCCACAGGTTTGGGTCTTAGCAACCTATGTTTTTAATAAGCACCCCATGATTCTAAGGCAGGTAAGGAGAAATCCCACGTGAAGTCCTGCTTTACTGAGCAGCCAATGGTCATTAGCATTGCTGCATGTAACCAGGAATCCTTCTAGTTATTTTTACTAATAAGTTTTTTCTTTTCAGGTTCTTTTAGACAAATCAGATGAGCCAGCCAGACAGCAGTTACTTCAGGGGTATGATATGTTAATGAATCCTCAGAAGATGGGAGAAAGATTTAATTTTTTTGCCTTGCTGCCTCATCAGAGACTTCATGGGAGAAGCCATCCGATGGATGCGTGCCAGTCAAAGCCCTCTGTGTCACCCGTAGCTGGGTTTGGTGAACTTACCTGGCGGTGATCTCAGTGTGGTCATTTTACCCCTAAGTCTGCCTAAGAAAGCAAAATAAAGGGAATGTGTTTCATATATCACAGGTAAAATAAGTATTACAATATTTTATGTCTTTATCACCAATAAAAATGGACTGTCTTACATACAGTACAATTAAATATTGATCTTTTATGGCTGTGTCTAGCTTTTGGCACAATGAAACAAGTTACTGAGAAACTAAGTGTCCTTTATTAAGGCTAGTTGCTGTATTTTTATTTTAAAAAATAAACATGAACACTGACTGGTTTAGCAAAAACTGAAACCTAACTGGCCTTTCATAGGGAATGGATTAAATAGAACTATCCATATATTATTTTTTAAAAATGAGGTAGAGCAGTATGTTCTGACTCATCTCTAAGAATGTGGGAAGTGAAAAAAGTATAGTGGAGAATGTTTTATAGTTATGATTCCATTTTTGTTGGGGGAAAAGCTACATTTAAAGAAATGCTTGTAACTAATCTCATAAAAATTAATACATTAGTGCAGACTGGTTGTTTTCTGTGGTGGTTACTTGTATATAAAATGTAAGGAAAGGATGCCTAGTAATCACTATTAAATATCCCATTGTGGAGTGGGTTTTCGGGGTGGAAATTGTTCTCCTTTGTGGTAAATTTTCTACCCTCTACTTCTGTGAATTTTATAATTAAAAAACTTTAGGGGTGCCCAGGTGGTTCAGTCTGAGTGTCTGACTTTTGATTTCAACTTAGGTCATGGTCTCGGGGGTTGTGGGATCTCCAGTCCCACGTCAGGCTCCATACGCAGCGTGGAGTTTGCTTGGGAGTCTCCCTCTCCCTCTCTCAAAATAAGTAAGTAAAATCTTAAAAAAATATTTAAGTGCCAGTAAAACTAGTAAACCTAACATGTACCTGAAATAGGAGTTAGAGTAAATGCAGACTATGTTAGCAGGAATCATTTTCTGATCTGAACTAATTCTCCCTCATTTTCAGATAAATGTCAAGTTTTCATTCTGTAAATTCTCATTTTTTGGTTCACAGAACCTTTATATTAATACCAGACATATACCTTCTGAAGAATTATTATATTGGCAATAAAAATTTACAGTGAGATTAAAGGAAAAGAGTATGAGATCTATGTTTTGAATTTATAGCTTAACTATATTGAAAGTTCACTGGCAGAGTGATCAGTTCTTGGCTTTCTGTTGCTTATTTGGCTTAACTCAGAACAGGACTAGTATTCTATGTCTTACTCTAAAGTAGGAAGATAGAGAGACGGCTTGTTTTTCACATACTGCCCCACCTTGCACCACTCATAATCACCTTTACTTTTTTCCAAAGACTTGGCTGGTGAATTTTTGGAAGGTGAAAATGCCCAACATTGGTCCCTCTTAGTTGTTTAATAGTTTTTTTAATTAATGGGAGGAATCAGGCAATGCCTTGTGTCTTAAAACCTAGAAAATTTACTTTGAATGGCATTTGGCTTATTTAAGTCTTACAGAAGTTACAATAGTTGAATATTTAATGGTAGCTCCTGAAAGCTTTGTAGTTATAATTATTCTAAACTTTCATGCCAAGAAATAAGACCTCCAGATAATTACCTCAAATTTCATATAAAATTGAAATAATGAGTTATTTTTTATTTTAGGTAGTTAAAAAAAATCAGTGTTTTAAATATAGCATTAGTTCCATTTACAAATACTATTTCCAAAATAATACTTTTATCAAGGCCTGGGAAAATAACACAACCAAGTAAAATTTTCTTTGGATACCTCTATTAGAGATAATGCTCAGGTTTTCACATGGAAAAGTATGGTGATATGGAAATACATTTTATTATCAAGCTTCTTTGAGGATATTTACAAAAAGTGGGATGTAACAAAAAATATAAAAATGTACGGAACAGTGTCATTATAGACTACTTTGTACATTATCAAATGTTTCTAACAATTCTTATGCAAAAACAACTTCAAGACAAAAAAAGGTTATGCAGGTTATACAGTATCTGGAGTAAATGACAACTCCAAATTATCTGACAGTGCCTTTACAAATTTTTTTAGAAAACTTCTTATGCATTCAACAATACAAAGAGTGCAATTAATTTCATGGCTTGTAAAGTTTGATTATGTAAGTATAGCAAACATCATTCCAGTTAATTTTCATCTTAGGCAATAAAACCAAAACCACAATAGGGTGCCTCGGGACTCAGAATTACTCCATTTTCGTACGTTGGTATAAACTTACTTTGGACAGATTTGGGGAAGTCATCCTTTAGCACAGAGAAAATACATTTCTAAAAGGTTTTGCAAAATTTGACTAAATTTTTTAACCTCCCGTAGGAGATTGAATACTATGAGATATGGTGGAGAGTATGAGTAGGCAGTGCAGCACAGTGGTTGGGGGGTGGAGGGGAACAGAGGGACGGGAGCCACACTGCCAGGGTTCACGTCCATATACAGTGACCCTCCACAGCTGGTTACTTAATCTTCCTGTGCTTCAGTTTCCTGATCTGTGAGATGAAGTCCATAATGCACGTACCTTGTTACTGTTGTGAGGGTAGTAAGTAAAAATGTGTAAAGAGCTCAGAACACAGGAGACTGCATAGTGGCTCCTCTCTCAACGGTACTCTCAGCCTAGATAACGGTGTAGCTTCCGGGCTCTCTCAAGGCCCTCTCTGGCTCCAGCTATTTGTATCCAGGGACATTCTTTTGCTACCTCATTCAGTGGGACAATGTTACCTAATGCTTTTATAGTTCTTAGTTTATTGAGTACGAATATCTTCATACATAGCCCAGCTTCACAACAGCATTGTGAGAAGGTAGAGGCAAGAATTATGGTCTTCATTTTACAGATTGAGATCTTGAGGCTCAGATTGAAGCCCAGACTTAAGACCAGATTTTCTGACTCCAAATCTTTTGCTCTTTTTTTTGGGGGGGGGGGTGGGTGGGAATAGTTTGCAGTGATTACTGTGGAATGAGAAACAAAAAGCCACTAGTTTTTTTAAAATAAGGGGGTGGTCCCAGATCTTAAACTTTTTGGGGAGAGAAAACTATTATTAACTTTTTAAAAGCTATGAAAAAGTCTAACCTCTTAAACATTGTATCTGAGTAGAAAAACACTTCTTTAGTGGGCTGCTGGTGCTGAAATGTTAAAAAAAAAAATAAGGGTAGGGCTACAGTATTAGCAGAGCAAATGAAAGAGTAAAATAAATGCTTCATGCTCAACCCACCTACTCCCCCAAACTGCTTAAAAGAACTGATTTAAAAACATTCCAGATATCTGTAAACCCTTCCTATAAACTAAGGGAAGAAAAAAAGGATACACTCTTTGCTGTTCTCTGTAGCATTAACTGATCCTGCACTGGCCTTACTTTTAATAATTTTCTTCCTCAAATTATTCAACTCTGTAAAGATAAACTGTGTAAGAAAAGTTCAGCTCTTTACTCACTGAACGCTGGAAGCCAGCTGCGGCATTACGGTGGTCCAGTGGGAACTTGAGGACAGAGCAGATGCTGAGCGAGGAGCAGACAGACCAGCAGGCCCTCCTCCAGGTTCTGCGACACCAACTGGCCCAAATTATCTTAGAGGCTGTTCCAACATACAAAGGGGACGAACTTAATTTTTATGTTGTAGAGAGCATATTAAGAGTTCAGCTCCAAAGGTTAGGGATCATGGTTTTGACTCTTGACTCACCTAAGAAAAAAAAAAAAAAGAAAAAAGAAAAAAAAAAAAAAGAAGGTAAAACAGCCTAGCATCTGGGAAACATTTCTAGGCACCTACGAAAAACCCCTCAGGTCTCTGGTTAAACAAATGCCTAGAGCCTGCAGAGGAAATCTCAGGCTGGTGGCCCCTCCTCAGTTAGCTTTTAAATGCAAACCTGCTTAGAACTCTTACATGATTTGATCAAGATATTCAATGGCTGGACCAAGCCTTCCTTTTTCTCCTTTTTAAAAAACAGTGTAAGAACATTTGGAAAGGGAAGATAAATTAAATGCCACTATAGTACTAAAGTGAAGGATTAGGAAAAAATAAAAAAACCAGTCATTACTATGCTATAAAAATTTATGAAATGCTTCATCTTGGTTCCATTGTGTATTTTTATTACTCAGTTTCCCCTCTTGTATCTACTCATAATGAACTACAGTACTGGTGTCACTGATTGCTTATCCTATTTCCCCATGTCTTTGCACCCTTGCAGATGACAACCTACAAACAACAGTTGTGCAGTAAAACATCAGTACATAAAATGAAATCCTTCCTTATTGAAGTTAGCTCTTTGATAATTAAGGATCTTCTTCCATATCATCTGGATTGGGAGCCATAATGAAGTGCTTTGGGTATACAAGATTGTGGGTGTATGCATGTATTTCCCAGCGGGCATCGTCACTTTCATGTGTAATGTAACGTTCACCGATGCGAGTTTCAAATTCTCTAAGGTCAAGCCAAGTCTGATAGTCCTAGAAAAAAAATGAGGTGATTATAAAGTATAAAAGTAACAAAATACTGTGAACTTTTTTTCTTAGCGCCGTAGTCACAGAATTGACAACCTAAACCCAATACCAAAAGTACTTGCTAAACTGTAAGTTCCATTTGTAATATTTAAATTAGCAACGTTAAATACTTTTTCAAATTTAGAATCTCTAATAAAGTGTCCAGTTTCTACAACTAAAAAAAAAAAATTGCCTGAGGCTTCTGAGATGGCTAATAATAATCACTAAAACATCCTGTTCTATACTCTGACCGTACACCCACACATTACTCCTCAAACTAGGGGAAAGTACTTAGGGTAATTTAATAATCATGGAGACTGACTAAGTCTGCATTTGTTTTGAAGTTACTACTACTCCCTACTCCCTTTAAAACAGTTCTAAAGCTTCCCTTTACTCTGAAGTTTGGGGGTATCTTTTGACAGATCTATGCAACAGCTTTTGGGGGGGACTTCAGCCAAACATTTTAAATGGCATTTCTGATCTCATCAATGCAAATATGATTCTTTTAGTGGATAATTTTAAAGTAAAATATATTTGACAAAATAATATGCTTATTTTACAAAAAGGTGGTATGAAACATAAGGTTTTATAAAAAGGCTAAATCACTGCTTTTCAGTTCACGGGAGTTTAACTGTCTAGAAGTTCTGCATTTCAGTGGCTTACTGCAAAACCTCCAGAGATGCAGCCACAGGACAAATTAATCACTAAAGAACACTTAACAGTATTCTAAGATGAGGAGAATCTGTTGATCTTAGCGTGGTTTCAGTAGGTAAGACAAAGTACAATGAATGGCTTGAATGAGGATCACCAGAGAGACGACGTTTTTTTGTTTGCCTTTTTACCTGCAGCCAGGGATGACTAAGAGATTTGTCCACACTGTAACGTTTTCTCATCTTCACTTGAAGTAGGTTGTTGATCAAATCAATTGCTAAGAGAAAAGACAAAATCAGACACGTAAATTTGGGTATATGGAGCAAACCAAACCTGTGAGTCTTAGAAGGCAGTGCAATCCACAGAAAAACAGGGTTGAGGGTTTTGCTTCTCAAGGCCGCAGTCTTAACAGCTACCCTGCGCAGCTACCCTGTTAGTGATCTGTAAATGTTCACTGCACTTAGTACACATTCACATGCACATTGAATGTGTGCAGAGTACACATTCAGTGTGGCAGAGGGTCGGTTAGTGCCCGCTGCCGTTACTCTGTTTCCTCGTCTACAAAATGAGGTTGTTGTAAAGATGAAATAATAAACGTAAAGAGCTTAGAATTGTGCCTAGCACGTAAGTGCTAGTTATGGCTATTATTATTTCAAAATGAATTAAAAAAACTGATCAAAGACCGACTCACTGTTTCCCCCAAAGACACCATTCCCTAGTCCCTGGCTTGGTCTGCTAAGGAGCCAAAGCCGCTGGCTTCCTCTACACGTGGGGCCAGACTAACCTGGTAACTTATTACCACAAGTTCACACTCAAACAGGCGTGGTGTTTGGTGTGTATAATAACAGTAAGTATGCTGGCATACTTATTTCATCCAGTTATTTGAAGAAATAAAGCAACTGCAAAACCATAACCTCCGTGTGACTGCGTCCTGACTACAGTGCAGTGTGACAGTATGTTTGAAATACAGATACAAAAGCCTGGACCCAGAGATGAGCCAAATGAAAGGTTTACATCACACCCACTCTGTTTCTCTTCTGCATACCACAGGTATTTTAATTATGAACTCTGGTTCCAAATACTTCAAACTTTTACCCGGTGTTGCTTAAGTGGATGTCCACCATGTGCAACAGAATCATTTGGGGTCTTTATTAAAATGCATTCCTAGTGTCATGCCAGCTGGTGAAGTGGAAGCTCTGGATATAGCCAGGGGATTTTGGTTTAGTACACTCCCCAACTGATTATGCTGACAGAAGAGGTCTGCAGACCACACTGGCTGGGGAACTCTTAAGAGAAACCCTCATATATACTTCAGTTAGCTGTCCGTTACCATGTTAAGCCTGCTACTGTTCTTACGGGTTGTTCCTCAAACTTCCCCTGTTTAATGGGCTGTTAATCCCTATGATTAGATCTGGTACTTCTGGAAAACAAAGAAAACCCTTGTTCCAAAGGTTGGCAAAATCCAGGTGGGGTATTTCCCCAGTAGGATTCCATTCAATATGCGGCTGCTAAATAACTTGAGTGCTCTGCCCGGCAGTATCAAAAAGTAAAAGAGGGACAGCCAGGGCATTCTTCATGCGTACAGAACCCAGGCTTGCAAGCTCAAAAACCGGTACTGGGCAGGGAAAACAGATGTATCCTGCTTCCTAGGACTGGACCCTGGGAGGGCTGCAAATAAACTGGAAAAGGTCTATAAAGTTCATTCTAGATAGAAAGAACCTGAAAGGAGCTTACAATCTAGTTCTGAAAATAAGTAATTATGAAAAGAAAGAATAAGGAAAAATATCTCCGCCTAGTAGCCTGAGTTGGTCTCCCCAGGTTTAGAGGAGGGGCTCCGGGAAGATTTCATAGGTGTGCCACGGTCCCGAGGGACTAGAAGGGTTTCAGTGACGAGGGAGAGGGGCTGCAGGCAGGGGCAAGGTCTAAGCAAAATGCAGAAAGTGGGTGGGAAGAGAAAACAACTAGGTTTTACGGAGGGAGGACAGCGGGTAGACTCGGGCTGCCTCAGGGAGACCTACGTAGCTGCAATGTGGTTAAAAGGAGGCCAAGGTGTTTGGGGCAGATTGAGACAAAAGTAGGGCCGGGAAAGTGTCTAATGGATAGGACCGTTACGAGATTTTAGTAGTTTCTAAAGGAGGAACCTGGGGCCTGGATTAGTGCTATGAGGAAATTAGAGAAGAGACAATGCAGAAGGAAGAGTGCTCAAAACTGGTTGAATTTGAAAGATGAATATGAGAAGCTAAAAAAGATGAGACAAAAGAGACAGGCTGATTTGAGATCACAAAGATTTTTCGACTAAAGGGCACAGAGCTGAAACTTTGTTTTCCTTACCTTCACCAGAAATTTCTCTCCAGGGATTTGGTGGGTACATAAATGCAGCATTTTGGATTTGGTCATTTATATCTTCATCTTCATTAAAAGGAAATGTGCCACTGAGGCTAACATAGACGATAACTCCCACTGACCACATATCTAGAGAACGGTTGTAACCTTTGCTCCTGAGAACTTCAGGGGCTAAGTACGCCGGAGTTCCTACCACAGATCTCCTGAACGACTTTTCACCAATGATGCGTGCAAAACCAAAGTCACACAGTTTCACCTGGAAATAAAAAGATGATGCTAATTTTGCATTTTCATCTGTCAGTCAATCTCTCTATACATACTTGTCCCTAAGTATGATACCAAGTCATTTCAACACACCTGCCAACATATGTACTAATTACGAATGTCAAATGAATGCAGATGGGGAAATTATAAAATACCCTTTTGCCAAAAGGCAGGTACATTTATAACCCTGTGATGTATTACTGACATAGTGTGAAGAGCTTTCCTAGTGCTTATTTCAAAAAACCAGTTTTGAAAGTTCCAGCTTTCAGAATGCCAAAAAAACCAGACTGGTGGTGTAAGTGTTCAAAATTTTATGATGAAATGGGAAGGCACTGATTTTTTAGCATTTGGCTTTTAAGGAGCTACTTTTCTATCATCTGTGAGCAGAAATTATGTGTCTCATTTTTGAATCCTCAGTGACTAGTGCCTGGACACATAAAGGTACTCAATAAATTTGTGCTGAATGAAAAATAAGTTGGTATTTAAAAACTGACCCTTTATTTTGCTTAATCCTAGAATCTGTATTCCTGAGGATTACTATCAGTTGGCAAGTAAACGGAGGTGTAGTAAAGAGGACTAGTACTATAGCCCTCAGAAGAGCAAGGCTAGAGTCTACTTGAAAGAATCAGAGCAAAATCATGACTAGTCAGACTTTGGATCTGGAAAAACAAGGTCTATTTGAAGGTAGCCACAGTCACTACAGTATCCTTTTGGAAAGAGTGTTCTAGAAATGTGATGAGCTTGGCAGAGCTCAGAGCCCTTATCTTGCTGCCCATCTTCTGGAAGAAGTTTGGGTTTTGGGGAGTAATGACACATCCATGCTGAATAAGCAAATACCAAGTATTTTCCAGAGGAAATGCCCTGACTTACAAAATGTCTTCACAAAAAGCATTATGATCAGTTGATGAAAAAAGGGATTTGGCCTCTACAACCAATGGTATAACAGTGCCTGGAAAGCAAAGATGAAGGTGTATTCAAATACTTCTTGTTATTACTAAGACATGGACCTTGGTGCATGTTTATGATTATCCTGTGTCTTTACTGAATGTGGCTCCCTCTTGAGTCCTAGAAGAACAGGATTATTAACCATGTAGACATGTGAACTCTCTTTGCTGTTGTTGTTAAATGCCATATTTCTAGTAACATCTTGATAAAGATGCCATGGCAGTCTGGCAACTGAATAAGGAAGTGTGGCCATGGCTAGTACTTGGGCAACAAGAAATGTCAAGTGAATGATGTTTTCCCTTTGTTCCTAACAGAAGTCAGGAAGTTTTAGCCTCACTGTAGGTATGTGCATCCTTTGCCCAGACTATTCGGAAGATCAAATGAGATGATAATGTATGGAAACACTTTATTAAAAACATCACACCAACTGTTAGGGAACCCTTTTTGACCTCACAATGATAGGGAATCCCTTTTAACCACACAGGCATTACAAAGCAATAGGATTACTTCCTTGTAAGAGTAATTTTTAAAAATAAATCTTTTTGGGGTGCCTGGGTGGCTCAGTTGGTTAAGCAATTACCTTGGGCTCAGGTCATGATCCTGGAGTCTTGGGATTGAGCCCTGCATCGTGCTCTCTGCCTAGTGGGAAGCCTGATTCTCCCTCTGACCCTACCTCCTCTCCTGCTTTCTCTCACTCTCAAATAAATAAAATCTTAGAAAAAAAAATCTTTTTCTTTGAACGACAATTTGAGTTGTATTTAACTCAGGTGAAATAATCATTGTCCTTGGTCTAGCCATCTAACTATGCATTTTTCAAATAAATAATAGTTTGTCAACAGATATTCTAGCTGATTGGAAAATTCACCAGTGATAACCATGAAAAATATTTATGGGTACTCCCAACATATGTTCCTCAGAAAAACTTCCAAACTTCAGGTTTATGAAGCATTTTCTTAGGTTACAAAATAATTTTGGATCAAGGTCAACATTCTTTAGTGAAATGAAATTTAACCAAGTAAAAAAATGCATCCCACACAGGACATATACACATACACGTGTGAGCGCGCAAAGGGGATATATATGTGTGAGTGATGGCAGTAACGGGAAATGTAATTCTTCCATAGGTTTTGGTGAAATGTTTGAAATAAAGTGCTCTGAAGAGGAAGGGAAATTAGCTGCCTGCCTCAAAATCTAGTGTCTCCCCCCTCCAAATCTAGTGTCCCCTACTGTAGGGTTACCCGTTTTTATGGGGAATTTGTCCCAAGCACCAGGCACCAGCCAAGACTGATTCTCCTCGCTTCACTGCCAAACCCCAGGAAGAAGTGAACTGCAGTCCACGTGCAAAAAGTTATTCCTTGAGGTCTGGTTAAGTCCAAAAAGTCTTAATGAAAATAATATAATTAATAAGGTCGGAGTTCAAATTATGTCAAGTATTAATCCTCACTGGCAGTTATAGGCCAATTCCTTCTGTTAAGATGGCTATAAGTCTGAATTTACTGTGTTCCCTTTTATTACGTGGCTGCTCTGTAATACTGTCAGATACTTAAAAAGGTTCTAAAGAGTATCTCACCTGAGGAAATGGCTCCGCTGATGCGAGCAGCACATTTTCCGGCTTTAAATCACAGTGCACAATATTTTTAAAATGTAGATTCCTCAAGGCAACAAGGATCTGTTATTGAAGAAAACAGAATTTTTTCAGTGCTTTGAAAAAATCATAAACCCCCACCTGAGCTCTTGAATGGTATGATAATTTGAAAAGTCTACTACAGTCTGTCAAGTTTTAACTGAAGTGTTACTCTGTTCTTCAAAGTTAAAAATTCCCAAAATAACACAGTATGTAAAAGCATTGCCATTTCTCTGTTTTCAAGTATTGTTTCAAAAAAAAAAAAAAGTTAAAGTACCTGTGTGACCATAAACTTAGTAATTCGTTCTGGAAGTCGACTTTTCTCACTGGATAGAATCATTTCCAACATATCTCCATGTAGTTTTTCCATTACTACAAAAACTCGTTCTGGAGTTTCAAACATACATTCCAGGTTTACAATCCCAGGATGGTGCAAATTCTGGAGAGTTGCAGGATATGTATATGACCAACGTAAGTAGAAAAACAGTTTTACTATGCAAACATCTAACAATGTACTACAACTGTCTGGAATACATGGCATAGAAAGAAAAACAAAAATAAGCAGTAAAAGCAAACGAACAGGATCATGGATTTGGATTTTCCAAGATCTGCAGTGTAATGAATGCCCTGAGGGGAAAGGAGGTCTTTCCAGTTAATTACGTAAGTGTCCTTGCCCATTACTACTACATTTTTCTTTCTCATCTTTTTAGTCTTCTGACACTGTTGTAATTTTATGCTGTCCATGAACAGACACCAACTGCCAATCAAATTTTAGCTTACTACACAGAGCTTGGGCTCTTTGGGGCTGTATCTATGGAGGTCTGTGCTCAAGAGATGGTTCTGTTTTTAGGGTAGTTATTTATTTAAGTCTGAATTCTCAATCATATCTGCATTTGGTTTTCCCGCTTTCAGGCTCAAGATCTCTACCTCCATCATCACACTTCTTGAGCACCACTACGTTACCAGGGTTGCAAAAATATAAACGTGAATGTGACACTATTTCTGCTAATAAAAAAGCAATCTATCTTACTGGTTAAAAAACAAAAAACAAAAACCTTCCTCAAAAGCAAATTATCTTAAGTCAGCTATGCTCAAAAATATTCCATGGTTTTCTATTCCTGGACATAAATCTATTCCTCTGCTTAGACTTTCATATCTTCATTAAAGGTGATTAAACTTTTTATTATTAGAAATATATTTTTGTTGTGTTTTTATCTTTATTATAGGTACCTAATTATGCTAAAAGGAGAAACTTTTTTTTGGCTTATGTGAGGTTGAACACCATCTCTAAAATGTTTTTTGAATTTGCCATCATCTCTCAATTCCCATTGTAGTGGCTTTAATTCCAGCTCACATTATGTCTCTCTAAGGCGATTAGTTTTCACCTAACACTATATATATATGTAATAATGTTTATCCCACTGTACTGAGTCATGTGTATGCATCTCACTCTGTATCCTAGTAAGTTCCCTGACAGCGGAGACTGTCTTAGTCATTTTACTCAATGTCTGAATCATGGTGTTTTTAAAAATGACTAGCAAGTGTAAAATACTGTTTACTAATCAATTTAAAACAATTTAATGAGATGGTATTCCAAGCAGCAAAATGAAAAAAAAAATGACAATTTTATATAGTAAACAAAAGTGACATGGGTGTGATAATAGTAGTGAGCAGGGGAAGATTCAGAATATCACAAATTTGATCAACATAGAATTCCAACTGTGGTTGGCTATCCCCATGCTGTAGTTGTCTTGTAAGTTTCTCCCCACCCCCAGTCCTGTAAACAGTACACAAACACAAAAACAGAAGTATGCTGTAACATTATTGTCTCTTAACATCCTCTGTTTGTTTAAATGTCCTGTTTCCTCTGGAGTCTTTTGGTAAATTACACTTTCATAGAGAATCATTTTCTCCAGGTTTTCAAATTTATTTGATAGAGCTGGAAAAGGCAGCATCTTAAAATGCCTTTAAATTTTTTTCAGTATTTGTGGTCCTCTCCCCAAGATGTTATTTCTCTTATTTTTGCTTTCCTTTATTATTCATTCTTTAACCTCTTGAGTTGGATTCTTAATTCACTTATTTTCATTCTTTCTTGTGTAAATATTTGAGGTTATAAATTTTCTAAGCAATAGTCTAAAAGTTGATACCCAATATTTTCACAATTATTTTCTAAATACTTTGAAATCTTGATTTTGCTCTTTAAAAAGTAAGATATTTAAAAAACTTTCGGGTGGTGGGAGCTTTTGTTTTTCGATTTTGTAATTTATTTCTAGTGTTACTGCATTAGGATCAAAGAATACGGTTTATCCTGCTTTTTTTGAATGAATGAGTTTTTCTTTGTTCTTTGTTTTTAGGGTACAGACTCAGCGTAGAGTGGTTGATTACCTTACACTGTTTAGGCCTTCTACGTCGTTAGTTTGGCTACTTCATCTCGCAGGACTGCTGCTGCGCTGGTCAGTTTCTCCCCGCCTCCTCTCTAGCTCTCCTTTACAAAGGCCGCTGCTGCTACCTGCTGTGGTCTGCCCTCTTCCACTATTAAAGGGCGCTTCATCCCTTCACTTACTGTGTTCTCCCTTAAATTAAATTTCAGAAGATCGTGACCCCCTTCACTTTCTTCTGTTTGAGGAGGCACCTAGAGAGGATCTCACAATTGTACAGCTCAGAAGAGCCAGCAAAAACAGCCCTTACTGTGGCGCCTCTTCCTGATGCACTCTTGGCTCCATCGCCAGTGTTTCTGGGAAAACTCCTCTATTTTATAGGTCCGAACTTTCTTCTATTTTTAGTAGTTTTTTAAAAGATTTCTGTTTGTCATGTTTCTTATAGCTTTTAGGGGACTCCCAAAAAGAGAAGGGGAAAATGGTGAATATACCACAGTATTCAAACCAGAAATTTCTTTCTTAAGTTTCTGATGACATTTTCCCATTTATGTAAGTAGCCATGAGAGCAACACCACTTTCTCCCATTACTACTCTACAGCCTACCTGCTTCAGGCAACAGCAAAGACCGTTTTGTATTACCACATCCCTATGAAAAAGTAAAAAGCCTCCATTTCTTTCCTGCCCCACAACACAGTCCCCAGCAGCCATGTTAACAGTTCAGGTAGGTATGGATCCTTTTCTTTACATAACTGTATGTACACATATGCAAAGTACACATTACCTTAAGAAATTATACAAATGGAACCATTCCACATTTCCATTTAAAAAATTTGACAATATGTTATAGGTAATCCCCCATATAAACACATTTATTCAATAAACATTAAATGAGTATTTGCTCTGTGCCTGGTACTATGTAGGTAGTCTGGATTCATGAGTGAACAAAACTGACAAATCTCAATCATGGATAGCTTATTCTAGCAAGGTGGGGTAGACAATAGGTAATAAACTAGTAAATTACCCAGGATGAAGGTGGTGAGTGCTATGGAGAGAAGAAAAAGAGGGTAAGAGTGGATGGGAACAGAATGCAAGCGCCTCATGAGGAAATGCCATTTGGGCAAAGTCTTGAAGGAGGTAAGGGGCTATGCCATGTAGACCTTGGGGGTGACAGCATTCCAGGCAGAGGTAATAGCTAAAGCAAAGTCCTTGAGACAGGACCATATCTGGCATATTTAAGGAACAGCAAGACAGTGTGGCCATCATTCAGAAAAGAGACTCAATTTGTTGAGTGTAGTCTACTGTGGGACCTTTTCTAAGAGATTTTGGCTCAGCCTAACAGAATATTTGCAGATGTCCAAAAATGTCATGTCCTCCTTTCTATTAAACTGACAGAAATCCAGAGATCATCATCAAGCACTCAGGAGAGAGGCTGGATGTTCCTGAGTAAACTAGAAGGTCACTGCTTATTCAGTGATTCTAGAATTGTTCCTCCCTGCCACTGGAAAGGCCAAAACTGTAGTCTCAGTCAGATCTTCAGTCTTTACCCCCTGACCTTTCTTGAAAAAGGGGAGGACATGGGGAAGAAAAACCAAGGATGTCAGTGGGGCTGCAGGGAACAGAGAGTACCAGAATCAACTGCCAGGCAGGGTTCAGCCAGCCTTTGAGGTTGTTTAATGAGGACTCCATACAAGAAGAATCATGGGCAAAGATGGGAAAGTAAGGATGACACAGCAGACGGGAGGTGGGGAGCCAAAGGGTAGAGTGAGTAGAGGGAGTGCAGTACATTCCTTTCAACCCATGTGCAAGAGTCTAGTTCAAATGCTCATATGACTAAATCTTGTGTAATGAATTTTAGCAAATGAGTATTTGAAGTTTCCATTAAAAATGTTTTTACCATGTTCGGAATGTTCTGAGAATTGTAATTCAAGTACAAAGTAGGCTAAAGTTGATCTTTATATTTAGCTGACCTCCTAATCAAATGTGGGGACACAAGTATCCAAGTATTTTGAGCTTCTGGAGTGACAGATTAAGTTTTTACTTTTGTTGTTGTTGTTAAGACATTACTGATGAAAATGTGTTCTAAACTACTATCTTAATGGCAGTTCTTGTAACTCCTAGATTACTCTAACTTAATTTTTCCTTTAAAAAAAAGACTTAAGGATTTAATGTAGATGCCCACCAGCCTCCTACTGAGCCCAAAGGTCACAATATGAAAACAGAAGAAAAAACAAACCTTATTCTTATCAGCACACTAAACAGACTTGCATTTAAAAACTCACAAATCAAATATTAAAACCAATACAAAGCAACTTGGTTTTTTTACCTGTAAAATAGCCACTTCATTACGGAGTTGACTTTCCTGTTTTGTGGGGAATCTCATCTTATCAATTACTTTAATAGCCACATCCCTTCCAGTCTTTCTGTGTTTTCCTATTTTTTTTTTAAAAAAAATATAGAAAAGAAAGAAAAAGCAAGTTGATAGTTCATATATAAGATGAAAGCTTTATGAGGAAGTTGAACAAAGACTGAAACTAAGATGTATTTACTCTGAGATTTCTTTTCTTTGGCTGACTTTGTTCCTTCTCCTTCACTCACCTTTAACTTTTAGAAGTAAATTACATTTTTCCTTAGTAGTTGCCTCTCATAAAGGCAGTTTCATTACTTGAAATGGCAGGAAATTTGAATCAACTTGTTTGCTGAACAAAAATCTACCTTGTTAAATGAGTTAACTACTCTGACTTAGTCTTCAGATACTGTCAAGATAGAAGCATTTTATCAATGAATTAATTTTATTCTAGGTTCACTGAGACAGCACAGTTACTTAACCACATATCAGGGCAAGCCTTGAGGCAGAAAGGCCACTAGAAGGCTACTTAAAGGGGGTCAGGAAAGGAGGAAATGGATTTAACATTTCTTTTATACCTTAGATTATAGCTTATAAAGTACTTTTATGTACATTAGGCTTAATTAACACCCCTGGGAGCTATGCAGGTCAGCTTGTGTTGGCTGCTTTAAACAGATGAAGACACTAATGCACAGTGAGCTTAAATGACTCTGCCAGTATCAGGAGTCACAGCGAGATTTCAGGTCTTCGGACCTGACACAACATTTCTGCCAACAGCAGACGAATGGGGCCATTTGTGCTGGAAATCCAGCCAAGCATATCCTTGGATAAATGAGCCCACAAAGCCCAACAAAGGCTTCAAGCCATTTATTTTCCCCCACAAACATCTTTATGAGTGAGCTACGAGGAGAGATAAAGTAAGACTACCGTGAAACTAATTTCCTGACGCTTTCTGTTACTCTGTAAAGTGTACAGCTGCGATTAAAGAACACGCAGAGTGAATAGGGTGGAGCTAGAAGAATGCATGTCAGCCCCTGGGGGAAATCACTCGACAAACTGTGACAGGACACGACAGCTGGCAGGGGTCTTCCAGTGTCACCGCTTTCTGGAGTATGTATGACACGCAGCCGGCCGTAGGTCGCTTACCTCCATAGACGATGCCAAACTGGCCTGAACCAAGCACCTCATCGGCAAAGATCTGGTAAACAGTGCTAATGTCCTGTTTAAGAAAGAGGAAGCGGCGTTATTTCTCTCTGTTCAATACTGGCAGTATCTCTGACTCTTTTCATTCTAATACTGAACACCTTTCTGTTTTTATGAGAGAGGTAGCTAAGTTTCCTAACATATTTTATGAACACAAACTTTCCACGTCCTAGAAAACCCCAATTTTATTACTATGACTCTTAATATGCAAGTACAATGTATTCTGTAACAAGGCCTTTGGGGGAAAAGCGCTTTGAATAAAAGAAAGTCTTCTATTTAGTAAGTAATGATCTATAAAAAGTAAATTAACATAAAAAAATTAACAAAATTTTACCCATTTCACCATTAAAGAGATTTGCGATCTTTGATTTGAGAGAAAAACTCAGAAGGTTTATATTACTGAGATCAGACTGATTTGAAAACCTGATGAAAAGGGTATGTGTGAGAAAGTCTGCAGCTCAGATCCCTCCCCATCCTTCTTCCCTCCCTCCCCTCCTCCTAGGTGGTGGCTGTTGCTGTGGGAATATTGCTGGCGGGTGCTCTCCAGCCCCCTCCCTAGCGCTTCAATCAGGGGCTCCCTTGTCCAGGTACGGGCCGCAGTCTGGCGTCTGAAGTCAGAGGCTCCATTTCTGTCAGTGTTACACTCCCTGCCGGCGCCTGTGTCATGGTAGCAACTCATACGGAATGGTACAGACTTCAATTTCTCACTGGTCAAGGGGATATAGTAACATCTATTTCACTGTATTTTTAAGTAAGTTAAATGAGGATATATACCAAGTGTCAAGTCCAGGGCCTGACATATAAAATCAGTAATTCTATAAATCTGATGTCCTAATTTCTGTTGAAATTAGGTTATCTTTAAATTGTTGACTTCCCTGGGACTTGACTCTCTCATCTGTAACAAAGTATTGGTCTACACCTCTAGGTTCCTCCTAATTTAAAAACTGCCTACTATTTTATGATTGTCATCAACACTTACTGAGCCCTAACTGTATAGGGGACTCTGTAAAAGGTAGCTAATTTGTAAAACAGACCTAGTTAAGAGGCTTATGATGTATTAGGGAAACATAAAAATCTATTAAAAAGATAAATAATTCAGGACATATCAGGGTCAAATAAATTCTACTCATTTGTAGAGGCTCTCCTAACACCTTTTCTTTACTAACTCCCCAGAATAACCTGTACTTCCTATTCCCTCTGAAAAGAATATATTGACTGATGTCTACAGTAGCCTAATAAAATGCATGTGGCATCCCAACGAGTAACTCTTAAAACTGAATTTGTTCCCAAACTCATTATGCCAAATGTTATAGATTATATAGTTTAATTACAAAAAATTAAATAAGTATACTATATAAGTCAATAAAACATTAGAAATTTCTATGAAAACAAGGTAGTTTTAGAAATTCCATAAAGGGGGCACTGGGTGGTATAGTCAGTTAAGCATCTGACTCTTGGTTTTGGCTCAGGTCATGATCTCAGGGTTGTGAGATCGAGCCCTGCACTGGGCTCCGTGCTCAGTGTCAGATCTGCTCGAGATTATCTCTCCCTCTGCCCCTCCTCGTGTTCTCGCTCTTAAATAAATCTTTAAAAAAAAAAAAAATCGATAATGGTGATACACCAAAACTACAGCTGTCAATTTATTTGTGAGCAAAATAAATACCAAAGATTGTGGGCGGGAGGATTCTGTTCTCAGAATATTTCACAAGTATCCCTGGTTCTCCTTTAAAGAAACAAAAATTGGAAATTATAGAGAATCCGTTATGGGTGTTGTTGTATAGTAAGAACTTGACTGGCCTTTGTCCCTAGTTACAAAGAGAGAGATTCTAAATCCTTAGAATTTCCTAAGTCATAGGAGTATCTTGTATGTTATGTTATTCATGAGCCCCTTGGATCACACCAGAACTATACTAACAAAATGATTCAGGATGGGGTAGGGTCACCAGAAAGACCAACCACATGATTACAGCGTTAGGGCTTTGAACCAGTCCAAACTCAGGGGAGGAGAAGGGGGGGGTAGGAGATGGAGTTCAATCATGTGGCCAATGCTTCAGTCAATCATGCCTACTTAATGAGACTCCAATAAAAACTCTGTACACTAAGGCCCAGGTGACTCTCCAGGCTGGTGACGATCACTGTGCAGTAGGGTTGCGTGTCCTGATTTCAGGGAGAGAATGCAGAAGCTCTACATTCAGAACCTTCCCAGACTGTACCCTATGTGTTTTTGGTTGGCTGATCCTGATTTTTATCTGTTACAATAAGGCTGTAAATCTAAATCCAGCACTTTCCTGAGTTCTGAGTCATGCTAGTGAGTTACTGAACCTCAGTGTGGGTTTGTGGAATCCCGACTCTGTAGCCAGTTGGTCAGAAGTATGGATGAACTGGGAACCCCTGCGCTTGTGGCTGGTGTCTCAAGGGAGAGCAGCTTTGTTAGGAACTATGCCCTTAACCCGTGGAATCTGCACAAAATCAGGGCATGAGCACTGGAACTGCAGTACTATGTTAAAGGTGTGGCTGATGCAAGAAAGACGAGGTGGAACTCTACTTAGCGGACCCATACTTAAAGAAGTTTCATCCCTGTGACAAAAGTAAATACATGTTTTAAGGTATAATGAAAATCTTAAGATTTATAAGAATCATTTTTACATGCTTCCCAACTTTAATCAATTTTTTGTTTAACCAAGGAAATTTTGATTCTAATCAAATTAGATGAGGGAACATCCACTAGTCAAATAATAACAGCTAGAAAAGGTTTTCACAAAGACCAGTTCTGAACCTCTTCCCTTCTCAGCTATGAATGGGCATGCCCCTCAAATTCTCGGGGGATCCTTCAAAGTTAGTGATCTCATGTTTGTGTAATCCCCCTCCTCCTCCCCAAGAATCTGTTATCTATTCTACCTACCACTACAAGAGACACACAGATTACATCTCCTTGAAACCCTCTATTCCCTGTAACACTACTGGATAGCCAGTCTCTTCACGGCAGTCTTAGAAAAGCCAACATGTATATGCTACAGGATTATTACAGCCGGAGGCCCCAAGTGGAAGATGGCGAGATTTTTATCAGAGAAATTTATAGACAGCCAATGAACTATTTTATGACTTCTTTTTTGAATCTTTTTTCTTATCCAGGGTTGGCAAATCAGTTACAGGCTAAATCCAGCCTGCTGTCTCTTTTGTATGGGCTCCTGATCTACAAATAGACTTTACATTTTAAATGGTTAAAAGGGAAAATAATAATAGCATTTTTTGACATGTGAAAATGATATAAAATTCAAATTCAAGTGTCTATAAAAACAGTTATACTGGGACAAGTCATGATCATTCCCTTATGTACTGCCTATCGATGCTTTCTCATGACCATGGCAGAGTAAAGTAATGGGGTTTGGACCCCAAAGCCTGTCATAATCCCTAACATGTACCTACCTATGCAAACTTCTTCCATTCACTATTCCTTGAAAGTCTTGTATTAAAAGTCTTGTATGTCCTGCTTCCCTCTATTTGTCCATCCTGGTCCCTGCACTTGCCCTAACTATTGTCTCCCCCCACCCCCATCCTCTCCACACTTCAGCCAAAATGCCTTTCCATCCTTGTGGGCACAGCTCAGGTTTCACTTCCTTGAGGAAGCTTTCCCTCCTTGCTTACCAGCAAGAAGTGATCTCTCCCTTCTCTTTGAACTAGTCTATCACTATGTGATATTCTACTATCACTTGTGAAAAAATCATCTTTATTTTCACACTTTAAAAAATCTGCTTTAGTTTCCTTCATAAAGCAGAACTCCTTAGAGTAGTTATCAGCCACAAAATCTAGCTGGTGCCTTTAGGCCAAGTGCTCAATACTCTGGCCTATGAACTTTTTAAAAAATTCAAATATAATTAATATACAGTGTTATACTAGTTTTGGATATACAATATAGTCATTTACAGTTCTAAATGTTTCTCAACGCTCATCAAGATAAATGTATTCTTAATTCCCTTTATTTACTTCACCTTCCCCCCCCCCAACTCCCCTCTGGCAACCACATTTGTTCTCTGTATTTAAGAGTTTGTTTTTTGTCTCTTGAATTTATTTAATAAGATTTTCACATCTTATTTTACCTATTTTAATTACCCAATTTGCTATTTTAGCTGTAATTTTTACTTACCACATTTTCCTGGATCTGACAGTTAGATACGGAGATACTAGTAGACAAATCTTCTGTAAAACAGAAGGATGATGTATGAGAAAAGAACAAAATTGTTGTATGACTTAATATTAACATTAGCTGATATGTGAATGCCCACATTACATTAAATTTTTAAAAGTGGCTAACATACAGTTAATATAATTATGTTCTTTAAAAAAATTTATCCACACACATAATACTAACCCATCAACAAGAAACTAGTCAAATAAAATATGACCCATCCACACAAAGAAATACTATCTAAACATTTAATGGTGTAGAGCTATCCATACTGAGTTAGAAAGCTATCCATGGCATATTAAGTTAGAAAGGCAAGTTGTAAGGCAGCAGCATTTGAATTAAAAACAAAGAAAATATGATACTTCTGGTGAACAAGAGAGGAAGGGTTGGGGAACAAAAACTTTAGTCTTTATACATTTCCACACTGCCTACATTTTCTAAAACATAAAAAGCAGGCATTATTTTAATAATAAAAAATTAGATAAATCAGATAAATCTATATACTGACACTGAAATATATCTGATCCCATATTAATTTAATAGTGGATAAAAGCAAATTGCATTTTTTGTAAAAATAAAAATATAATAATACAGTACAGATAGTACCAGCTTCCATTCTCCCCAAACCAAGAAATATACACCAAATTGTTAATATTGGTTTTCTCATGTGGGAGATATAGAAGCAGGAATAAGGGGATGTGTTACAAGTGTACAGGAAGGGCTGTCTCATTTTATATTCCATATTACTGTGTAGTTTATATGTCTATATTACTTTGATAAGCAAAGGAAGTGAGTGACAAGAGAAGAGGGCCACATGGAAAGTATGTAAGAGACTAGGTCTCAAACATCTAGAATCTCAAAGAGAACTCAAAGAAATAAGATGTGAAATTTCCTTTACGATCCCAAATATAAAAATTTAAAACAAGAAAATGTAAGCATACTATAAGTCAAAAATAAGTAATAGGACTATCAAAGACTGCATTTAAAAATGTTAAGTCAATCTTAAAATATTTTAAATAATTCAAATATTAATGAACAAAAAAGGCATAGCATCAATGATACTAAAGTGTCTAAAGCTTTGTTTTTCAATCATTCCATTTTCCTAGCATAAGTCAGTACTGATTTTATTTCAAAGGCCTCTGCTGTGTAACTCCACCTAGATTTATCTTCTATTGCTTCCTAGAACTCCACTCCAGAAAAACCAAGAGCAGCAGCCAGCAACCCAGGAATAGTATTACCAATGTGTCAGGAACTGTGCTAAGTGCATTATATGCATTATTATTCCCATTTTAGATTAGTGACTGCAGAGACCAAGATCACAGCCAGTAAGCAGCGACTGTGCTTTCATTCTCTACCATCCTCACTCTTTTAAAGATTTTTTTTTTTTTTTTTTTGACAGAGATCACAAGTAGGTAGAGAGGCAGGCAGAGAGAGAGGGGGAAGCAGGCTCCCTGCTGAGCAGAGAGCCCGATGCGGGGCTCGATCCCAGAACCCTGAGATCATGACCTAAGCCAAAGGCAGAGGCTTAACCCACTGGGCCACCCAGGCGCCCTACCATCCTCACTCTTTTAGAGACTCTTATCCTGAGGGAGGAGGTCCATGGATGAGCTGGAGAACAGAGAATATTCCTATATCCCATTTATACATAACATTTATGTTTATGTCCCTGTACCATTTTCTGGGGGAAAAGGTCCATGACTTCAATTAGGATATCAGACTTTTGCCTAAAATCCCCCCAAACTTAAGAAGCACTGTAAATATCCATCTGATTCATCCTCTAAGAGTCAGTATTAAACACCAAACACGTTCACAGTCATTACTTTCATCCCTTTGATCACACCCGTCTTCCTTAACTAGAGTAACACTATCCCCCTTCACCCTTCCCTTTTGATTTTTCCTATCCTACTTGAGATCCAAGGTCAAGGTTCAAATCAGATTGTTTCTATCATAAAGTCTCTGCTTCCTCCTCCTATCCATATCTGCATCCCCCAGATAACGCATTACTCATTTCTGCATTCTACTGCCTTATGCTACCACTTAACACTTATGTTATATGTCCTTTCTCCCTTCATTTCTGTGTTTCTTTTGTATTCTAGCTCAGAGCCTAGTATAATGCCAAGAATAGGTGCATGAAATAATACTGCTGAACTGAAATAACGCACATTTAGGAACTGGCTGATACCTATTTTGATTTAAATATACTTGTCTAATAAATGATGTTTCCCCATAAATAACACCAGTAGCATAAAAGTGACATTATGTTATGGCTTTCACTTGATCCTTTATCAAATTTAGGATTTATTTTATAAATTTTGTTGGTGCAAAGAACATGTTTTAATACTTTTTTAGTATTTCTGAATGTTTAAATTCAGTTAAAAGAAAAATGGCATTTGTGACTTCACAGATTTCACAAGTATGATGTGAACCATAATATTCTATCACCTGTTTATATCCCACCATAAAGCAAAATGCTAGTAGTCTGCTTAATCCAATGAGAGTTCATGGATACCAAACACTGGTTCTCCTTCCTTTAATGCTGAGAACCCTATAAAGTAGGTACTATTACAGAGAAGTAACGTTTTGCCTAAGATCATATAACAGGTTGGCAGAACCAGGATTTGAATGTAGGGAAACTGACTTTGGAACCTAGCTCTAGGGGCTTATGTATACACTATAACATAACTATACAAAGGAATTAACTAACAATATTGGTTAGTACAGATGAAGCTTAAAGTAAGCATTAGAAATATATACAGAGAGGTGCCTCGGTGGTTCAGCTGGTTAAGCATCTGCCCTCGGCTGAGGTCATGATCCCAGAGTCCCGGGATCGGGATCGAGATTGAGCAGAGAGTCTGCTTTTCCCTCTGCCCCTCCACTCTGCTCATGCTCTCTCTCTCTCTCTCAAGTGAATCTTAAAAAGAAAAAGAAAAAAAAGAAAAGAAAACAAAAAGAAAGATAGAAAGAAAGAAAGAAATACATGCAGAAACACAACCATACCCACAAAATGCTTAAGAACCAGCGAGGAGGAGAAAAGCCATCAACAAGCTTATTGCTTACTGTGATCTTTCCCTTGCCCTGGAGAAGTGCAAACACTTGCTTGAGGGGTAACAGGCATGAGAGCTTGGCGAATTGCTTTTTCCCAGCTCTGTGCTACATCAACTCCAACTCCAGTGGCAGCAAGAACAGGATTGTGGGAGCTATCCCCATTGTTCTCCCCAACAAAGTATACCATAGTATCAGTGATGATTTCAAAACAGTGTGGGTTGCTGCCTTGTGAAATGTTTGTGAAATCTTGTGGCGAAGATATGCGGAGAATTTCTGAAAGTGGAATTTCCTGAAGTAAAAAATTAAGCATTAAAAGATATGAATACATCTTTGTTTTTATTTTCAAATACACTAAACAGAGATATGCATTTTTAATGAATGCATTAAGATGAACACAAGTATGTGGTACATGGAACACACAGTCAAGTCTTATGATAGTATCTGCCTGGAATGATCTGCACGCCCAACAATGCTGAAGGCAGAGCACGGAGAATGATAACTAAGCCAGTGATTCAGGCCTGCAGCAGGTCATTAGACTGTAAGGAAGAAGAGGATCCTGGAGGGTAACTGCCACTATATCCAACACTTGTCACTTTCCAATTGTCATTCAATCAACTCTACAATTACTTCTCTACCAGAGGCTGCTGCAAGATACAGCCCTCAGAGAAGAACAAAGCAAAAATAAGAGCAAAAGTAGAATGTTAGTATAGGTTGTTCAAGCATTCCATCTGGTTCTGCCCATAAATGTAACAAGTATATATAGGAAATCCATTCCCTAATGCAAAGAAAGTACTTAAAAGAACCCAACCAGATCAAAGCAAGTCTAGTTTCTATTCTCTTTCTTAAGGATACAATTGCTACACTCTGCTATTTTGTCTGATGTCTCTGACACGCAAAGGGTGGAGCAAGCCAAGCAAAGAAGACTAGACAGAGGTGAAGAAGCTGCTTCTGGGGATCAGGGCCCCAGATAAAATGGAGCGTAGAGAACACCAAATCCCATAGTGGCCTCTTCTGGGCAGGCGACGATCATGGGACTTACTGCACTGCCCAACCTAAATCACAGCATTCAAAAGGCAATCAATAGCAACCTGACAAGCAAGCCAAAACCAAAGGAACACACAACGAAAAACAACCTTGGGCAGCAGGGCTACTGTGATGGGTGAAATGGAGGGGGGTGGGACAGTTATTTCAACACGGAACTTAACAGTGCCTTCTATACATAATATTAGGCAGAGTCAAAATAGGTATATGCCAATATAATAATTAATGAATACTACTTGAATATTTGGAAAATATATAATGTTTCAATGTTCATATTTTTCAAAATATGTATAATTTTTACCTTATAATACTTTGATCCAGATTCATTTTGAAACAATGTTAGACATTTGCTGTCCAGTCTCCAGTAATGCCTCTTTCTCTATAAAATAAAGGACATAAAAGTCTGCGGTATAAAAATAATGGTTCCTACAAAGTGCCTGTCCCTTTCCCTTCCCTTTCATTTCTACTCATAAGTTTGTATTTCTGTAGGTTTAAAATTCATGAGGGTCAAAATTCTGCAAATATAAGAAGGATACAGAGTGACAAGTATACTCCCGCCACCATTCACATCCCACTCCAAGTAAGCAATGGTAGTAGGTTTCTATGCATCCTTTTAGAGAACTTTATGCATGCATGCTCAAATACATACATGATACACATGCGCAGATAGGTAATTTACCTATAGGCTGCATTTCTAATCTGGATTGCTGGATCAGAAAATATATACACATATAATTTTGCTAGACAATGTCAATCACCCTTCATAAGATTTGACCCAATTTATAGTATCATCAGGAACATAAGTACCTATTTACTCAAACCTTCACTAATATAGTTATGTTACTCTGATCTTGGCAACACTGAAAAATAAAAGCTGGTAATTCAGTGAAATTTTAAATTGTACTTTTTATTAAAAATGAACACTGGGTCTGCTGCTGCATAAATAATGAATTTTGGAACACTGAAAAATTAAACTACATTAAATTTTAAAAATTGAGCTTGGGGGGGGGAAGAGGGTATAGGTGACTCAATGATCTGAAACTGAAATTCAAAAAAAGAATGAGATCAAGCTCTTATGTTTAAGAGTCATATGTATTTCCTTGATTATGAACTTTGCTGACATTCTTTGCCCATTCTTTGTGCTGTGTGGTCTTTTTCTGATCAATTTATTGTCATCCTTACATATAATGAAATTAATCCTTTTTAAAATGAAATGAATTATATGACTTCAGGATACTTTTTTCAGTTTGTCATTTGTCTTTTGATATGTGTTTTTGTTTTTTTCTTAACATGCCCCTTTATTTTTAAAAATGAAGACTTCAGCCATTTTTGGTCACAGTGTAATTACATGGAAGGTACAGAGATTTCTCATGTACTCCCTGCCCCCCATACATGCAAAGCCTCCCCATTATCTACATTCTCATTCAGAATTGTACACTTGTTACAACTAATGAACCTACACTGACACATCATAATGACAAAGTCCAGAGTTTATGTAATGATTCACTCTAGTGTCGTACATTCTTAGGGTTTGGACAAATGTATAATGACAGGTTTACATAATTTTATTTTATCGATTATTTTCCTTGCCTTAAAAATTCTGTGTTCTTTCTGTCTATTCATGCCTACCTGCCCGCCACCCCCTACCCCTTATTTTTTACCATCTCCATAGTTTTGCTTTTTCCAGATGTCATATAGTTGGAATCATACAGTATACAGCCTTTTCACACTGGCTTCTTTTCCTTAGTAATATGCATTTAAGATTCCTTCCTGTCTTTTCATAGCTCACTGCTGTTTAGTACTGAATAATATTCCATTGTCTGGATGTATGTACTACAGTTTGTCAATTCACTTACTGAAGGACATCCTGTTGCTTCCAAGTTTTGGCAATTATGAATAAAGCTATCGTAATCATCCATATTCAGGTTTTTGTGTGGACCTAAGTTTTCATATCCTTTGGGTAAAAACCACGGCATGCAACTGCTAGATCATACGGTGAAAATATGTTCGGTTTTGTAAGAAGCTGTCAAACTGTCTTCCAAAGCGTCCATAGCATTTTGCATTCCCACCAACAATGAATGAAAGTTTGCATTGCTCTATCTACATCCTTGCCAGCCTTTGGTGGTGTCAGTGTTCAGGTTCTGGCCATTCCAATCAGTATGTAGTGGCATTCCACTGCTCTTTTAATTTGCATTTCCCTGATGACATAGGATATGGAACGCCTTTTCATGTGCTTATCTGCCATCTGTGTATCTTCTTTGGTGAGGTATGTGTTAAGGTTTTTGATTCATTTATTAATTGGGCTGTTTCCTTACTGTTGAGTTTTAAGAGTTCTTTGTATATTTTGGAGAAGTCTTTCATGAGATGTCTCTTTTACAAATATTTTCTCCTAGTCTGTGTTTGTCTCATTCTCTCAACACTGTCTTTTACAGAGCAGAAGCTTTTAACTGTAATGAAGTCCATCTTATCAATTATTTCTTTCACAGATTTTGTATTTGGTGATGTATCCCCAGATACTTTCTGAATCTCTATTGCTCCACTAGTTTGTAAAAATATTTCAAAGTTCTGCCTTTTGAAAACTCTTTGCAAATGTAACTACAGTTCTAGTGTACTAAAATGCCTTAATATAGATCTCGTTCTTATTTTGATTTTAAAAATGCATAAAGTAAAGCACATAACAAAGTTTCACTACTATATTACAATGTCTGTGATTACTGACCAGGGTGTCCCTGCTGCTGTAATGGACCATCCACCCTTCCTTCACCATCGTGCTGCTCTTCCTCTTTGTGTGCTTGATGGACTGTACAACCCTCATTAGCGGAATATTACTGCTTGTTGATGGACTAAAAAACATTTAGAGTTCATGATAAAATATTGATAATTTCAATTTTTAAAAAAAAATCACATAAATACTTTAAACTCACCAGCCCTTTTTAGGATAATTGAGCTTATAATTTTTCAAAATACCTTATAGAAATAGCTTAAGAAAATAATCCCATTATGATGACAAACAGTTGATTTATAAAAGACTAAGATAATACTACAAGTCCTCATATTTTTTGATGGGTCATAACACAAAATAATGCACAGAGCAGAAAAAATTCTCCCTAACTGCAAGATATGAAGCCTGGGAGAGGGTCAGAGCCCTTAGATAAAGGCTTCAAACTTTTTACCACAATCTCATTTGGGATTGCTGTTGAGAAAGCTGCTTTTGCCCTAGGCAGCAAGGTTAATTAGTAAATTCATAATAAGGTAAAAAGTAAGTATATCTACACCCAAATTTACATGGTTCAAAGGTCAAATTCCATTATTCATGTTGTTAGCAAAAAGTATTTCTAGCAGAAGACACTGAAAGTCAAATGTTTACAGATAACAATTAAGAAAATAAAAATAATAAATAATGCACCAGTCAAGTCAGGTAATACTGAAACATGGGCCAGGAACAGCATAGCTAGAGGAAAAGAACAATTTGGGGCATAAATGTGAAAACACATGGTTTTTCAATTTCAGTTAAATATTTTCTCTTAAATTATGAAGTATTCATGATTAGAAGCTATTTAAGTTCTCTGGATAGTCTCCAAACTGGGTAAACATTAAATTTTGTTTTAGAATGAGAATGATAGTAATAGCTGTAACCTAATGATAAGCCAAAATGATTAAAGGACCACTCAGCCATGTGAGATTGATAAATGATCCACTTTCTCTAGATACCTCCTGGTTGCCACTGAAAAACAAAACCTGCCAAAATATTAACATTTCATTACAAAGTAGTACATCCTATAAAGCTGTATTCATAGAAAAATTGAATTTCTATAAACGTAAGGGGATATTTACAAGTTTAATAATCCAATAGCATTTTTACAAAGTGCTAATAGCCTAATTAACCACTCCCAAATTCATCACCATCATCTTTGTGCAACATCTGTAGGTATACATTCGTACTGGTGTTTCGAACACCCAGTAATCTGCCTCTATGAAGAAACTGGTTGCTTTAACTGTCAGTTAATTCTGACACCTTGTGGTGGCTGCTCCACCGTGAGAGATCACATTTAGACTACATTTAAATAAAATGTTTTTCTCTTCAGGAAAACAAAGATTCTCACACATTCCCATGTTGAGTGGATGGCAAGAGTGATAAAATTTCTTTCAGAAATCCTGTGGTGCATGTAAAAGAATTAGCAACAATTTAAATCGATTTTAAATTACACTTTAGGGTCCATTTAAAGAGATTCTTTCTCAAGGGAGCTCCTGTACTGAGCCTGCATCTGGCGGCAGCTCGTGGCACACCCATGCACACGCATACCTGATTGTTTTCACAGCTTCCTCATCTCTTTCCACATCAAGATCAGACGGATCCAAGAAGAACATTTTATCTTCTGGAGGAGATGGCTCTTCTGTGTCATCCAAGCCCCGGCTACCATCACTGTTCATGTCACTGCTATCAATATCCATTGGTATATCTGTATCTGCTCCCAGACTGGAAGGTTCTGGCAAAGTTTTAAATGAATTCAGAGTTTTATATTAATGGGAGATCAATACGTCTGAAGAGAAAGAGTTTCTAAAATGTGAGAAAAAAAGCTTTAAAATGCTTAATGAAAATCTAGGAAAATATCTTTATGATTCAAGACAAAGTATTTGAAGAAGATATAAAATTCACACACTATAAAACAGAAAATTAATTTAATTAATTAGAATTTAAACCTCTATATGTCAAAAGATACTAAAAGTAAAGTAAAAGATTAGCCACCACTATTGTATGTTGGGTTGAGTGGTTTTCCACAAATGTCCAAGGCAATTTGTTAGAGAAAGAAAAGAAAGAAAGCAAAATGTTCAAAAACTGGTGCTAGTACAACTGGGTAACTACATGCACAAGGGTGAAACTGGATGTCTTTTTTAAACCAAATATAAAAAGTGGATCACAGGTCTAAATGTAAGAACTAACCCTATAAAATTCTTAGAAGAAAACACAAGAGTCAATCTTTGTGACCTTGGGTTATACCAAGCCTTCTGATAGAACAACAAAAACCCAAGTGATTAAAAAAAAAAATAAACTGGACTTGATTTTATGCTGCAAATGATACCTCAAGAAAGTAAAAAGACAGCCCAAAGAAGAGGAAAAGTATTTACATATATCAGAGACCTCTATCTCAAATATTTAAAGAACACTTACAACTCAATAATAAACAAATAACCAGTTAAAAAGGCAAAAAACAGGAATAATAGATATTCTTCAAAACAGATGTAAAAATGGCCCACAGACATGTGAAAAGATGTGCCTATCAATTAGCCATCAGCGAAATGCAAATCAAAACGACAATGAGCTATCGCTTCACACTCACTAGGATGGCAACAGCCAAAATGATGGACAAGAACAAGTGGGGGCGAGCATACGGAGGAATCTGAATCCTCACACGCGCTGGCGAGATTGTAAAATATACAGCTGCTCGGGGAAACAGTCTGGCAGTCCTCCTCCAAATGTTAAACACAGAGTTATCATATGACTCAACAATTCCACAACCAGATATCTGCCCAAGTGAAATAAAAACATATGTCCACAGAAACTGTACTCAAATGTTCTTAGCAGTATTCACCATAGCCCCAAAGTGGATACAACTCAAATGTCCATCAGCTGAAAAATAAAATGTAGTATATTCATGCACAGGAATGTTATTCATGACAAAGCAGAAGGTAGATTTGTTACAACATGGATGAACTCTGAAAACATGAAGCTATGTGAGACAACACCAGACCCAAAAGACTGCACATGATATGATTTCATTTATAGGAAATGTCTAGAATAGAAAGACCCATAGAGATACAAAGTTGATGGCAGCTGCCAAGGGCTGGTGGGGAAGAGTGAGGAGTGACTACTAGAGTGTATGCAGTTTCTTTTCAGGGTGATGAAAATATCCCACCTTTGGACTGTAATGACAGCTGCCTAACTTTGTGAATAAACTATGTGTGAAGTACAAAAATTATCTCAATAAAGCTACTTAAAAAAAAATGAAAAGCCACAACTGAGAGAAGGTATTTGTGTCAACTATAACTGACAAAGAATTATTAGGTACAATTATCAACAACTCTCTGCAAATCATTAACAAACACAAAAATGGACAAAACATGCAATTTACAGGGGAAAAACCCCTAAGTAACCAGTCAACATATGAAAGATATGCAAACTCATTAGTATACAAATGTACTATAAAATCAATATGAATAGTATTTGATACCCATTTGTCAAACAGTAGAAAAGTACAAAAAGATACAAACATAAATCTAGAGAAGACTTTGGTTCTATAGAAAAACTACACTTATTCATTTATTTCACAAATGAGAAAACCAATCACGTTATCAATGGTGTTAAACAGCATCCATAAAAATCATGCCATTAAAGAAAAAGTTAAAAGTCTTAAGAAATTTAATATCTGTTCCTTATGCTTCTCCTCCTATAAAACTTGTATTTAATTTTTACCAGTCATGTAAATGTTAAAGAAAAATTATGCTTAGTATAATTTCTTCTTCCTTCCAAAAAGGTAATCACTACAACTAATATAATTTTGAAAACAGAAAACAAACAAACAAAACAACAGCAGGCAAGGGTGTCTAGGGAAAGATTGATAGAGAGTAAGGCAGTATAATGTGTTCTAGTGACTGTGGACTCGGGGGGACCAGATCATGTGGGTTCGAATCCCAACTCTAAGTTTCTGGCTACACTTCTCTGACAAGTTATTTAATGTCTTTGTGCCTAAGTTTACTTATCTGTAAGTACTTAACTCAAAGGGCTGTTCTTAGGTTTAAATGTCAATATATGTAAAGAGTGTGGAACAGGGCCTGGTACACAGAGGCAGTCAGTAAGTACTAGAACTATGAAAACCTCTAGGGACAGCAGCAGGCTGTTAAAGTCTCTTGTCTAAGATGGAAGAGAACATGCAGCACAACTGGCAATATGAGACTACAAAGTGGTAGGTGGTTAAAGGAAAAATGGGAAGACATAAAGACTAATAAAGGTGTACTGTTATTAAATTAAAAAAAAGTCAAAGTTAAGAAACAAAGTAAACAAAATAAAATATGCAAATATAACCTTATACAAAGATAATACACAAAAGAATTATGACCTTTTCTGATCTTTTATGGAAATTAAGAAAAAGAATTTTACCTCCATTGAAAGTAACCTCTCCAAGGCAGTCTCTTGGTACTTTTGATGCACAGCGTTTATGGCAGTTGAATTTACAATCTGAAATCAAGTTTTTGATTAATTTATGTAGTATGTCAGGCAGTATCAGATATGGTTAGACACTTTTTAAAGTTTTCCTTTCCTAAGAACTCAAGTCTGGGAATAAAGGTCTGGTTTCAAATTCTGATGCCACCTCTTAATAGGTATTATAACTCCTCAGGGCTCAGTTTATTTTTTGTTTTAAATTTCAGCTAGTTAACGTAGTGTAATAGGAGTTTCAAGTGTGCAATATAGTGAATCAACAGTTCCATATATCACAAATGCCCTCCTTAATCCCCATTACCTAGTTCACCCCCCACCACACCCCCTACCACTCATAACCATCAGTTTGTTCTCTATAGTTAAGCGTCTGTTTCTTGGTTTGTTCCTTTTTTTTTTCTCTGCTCATTTTTATTTCTTAAATTCTGCATGAGTGAAATCATATGGTATTTGTCTTTCTCTGACTGACCTATTCCACTTAGTATAATTCTCTCTAGCTCCATCTAGCAAGTGGCCAGATTTCATTTTTTATGGCTGATTAATATTCATTGTGTGTGTGTGTGTACGTATATACACACTACATCTTCTTTATCCATTCATCAATTTGATGGACACTTGGGCTGTTTCCATAAATTGGCTATTATAAATAATGCTTCTATAAACATCAGGGTGCACATATCCCTTTGAATTAGTTTTGTATTCCTTGGGGAAATAACTAGTAATGGAATTGCTGGATCACATTTTTAACTTTTGTTTTTTTACATTTTTAACTTTTAACTCTTTTAAACTTTTTGAGGAAACTCCACACAGTTTTCCAGAGTGGCTGTACCAGTTTGCATTCTCACCCCTCAAGGTGCAGAGAGTTTCCCTTTCACAACCTCGACAACACCTGTTGTTTCTTGTGTTGTTGATTTTAGCTATTCTGACAGGTGTGAGGTGATAACTCACTGTAGTTTTGATTTTCATGTCTCTGATTAGTGATGTTGAGCATCTTCTCATGTTGTCTGTTAGCCATCTGTATGTCTTCTTTGGAAAAATGTCTATTCATGTCTCCTGCCCATTTTTAATTGCATTATTCATTTTTGGGGTGTTGAATTGTATAAGTTCTTATATACTTTGGGTACTAACTCCTTATGGGGTACATCATTTGTGAATATCTTCTCTCATTCCACAGGTTGCTGCCTTTTGGTTTTGCTGATTGTTTCCTTTGCTGTGCAGAGCTTTTTACCTGATGTAGTCTTAAGAGTTTATTTTTGCTTTTGTTTCCTTTGCCTCAGGAGACACATCTAAAAAAAGTTGCTACGGCTGATGTCAGACATTACTGCCTGACATCTATGGTTTCAGGTCTCACATTTAGGTCTCTAGTCCACTTTGAGTTAATTTTTTGTGTATGGTGAACGAGAATGGTCTAATTTTCCCAACACCATTTGTTAAAGAGACTTTTACCCATTGGATATTCCTTCCTGTTTTGTGATGATTAACTGACCATATAGTTGTGGGTTCATTTCAGGGTTTTCTATTCCACTGATCTATCACCATTGATTGGCAGGGAAGAGAAATCACACCAGTCAGCTCCTATGCTGCCAGAGAGGTCTCTCATAAATGCTGCCTCTCAGGGGCAGGCTCTGAGAACAAGTAATCTCCTCACTTGCGTCCCAGGCACTCTTCAGATCACTGTTTCCACACTGTGTGTCCCTGGGGTTGTATGCCTGCTTCTCCAGGAGCAGCTCTGATGCCTCTAGATTCCCTGATATCTCTAGACTCTCTTGGAGTCCAGTCCACTGACACTTAAAAAACTTCGGGCTTAAAGCCCCTCTGGCTGCAAGAACCCATCTTGCTTTCCAAGCCAATGGATGGGAAAACATTTTTGTTGTGCATTCCCGAGTGCTCTTCTCTTGCCCCTCTCTGTGATCATGGGTCCCCTCTCTTCTGAAGCAACAAGCATGCATTTCTCCTCTAAACCATGTCCTGTACTTCCTACCTTCATTGCAGCCTCTACTCTACATTTAGTTGTGGAGTTTGTTCTACTGTTCTTCAGGCAGATATCTGGGGTATTTAGGATGCTCTGATAGCTAGTTATATTCAAGGGATGAGTTGAGTTTACGTTCCTCCTACTCTGCCACCATCTTCCCCACTTCTACCATGGGTCAGTTTATCTCTTTAATGAAGCTAATACTATTCATATGACACATTGCTGGCAGCACCATGTTTCCTTCCCTTATCTCACATCCATCTTTCCATGTTCCCCTTAAGAGTTTCTCAGGCTGACTACTTTTCCAATATGTCAAGCACTTACTCTGAGTTCCTAATTAGTGAGGGCTGGTGCATATGCAGAAGAGAGACTGAGATTCTACAAGCTTTTGTTAGGAATTAATAAGGGCTTTCCCATACAGCCTTATATGGAAGGACTGTGCTTCTCATGCACAGGATCACTCACCATTATGAATGGTTCTCTTCAGCCTGCAAGAACTTCAGAGTTAGCACTGCAGATGAGTGTCAGGTATAAGCTGTTCAATACTACCCTTAACTCAGTAGTTCTCAAACTGTGGTTCCCAGACCAGCAGCATCAGCATTATTAAGAACTTGTCAGAAATGCAAATTCTTGTGCCCCACCCCATACCTATTATATCAGCAGCTCTGGGAGTGGGGCTGAGAAATGTGTTTTAATAAGTATTTTTAAGGTGACACCAAAATTGAGACCCATGCTATAACTATTGTCTATTACCACCTTCCACCTTGGAAATACACCTACCAGCAAATTCTGGATAAAACTAATTCCAAGTCCTAACTCAGAATGATCTTTTAATCCTTGTGACTCAAGAAAATTCTGGGTATCATACCAATAGCATAAGAAAAAGTCCCATGATTACTATTTGGTGGATGACAAAACTTGTATTAAATAACACTGTCTTGGGGCACCTGGGTGGCTCAGTGGGTTAAGTCTCTGCCTTCAGCTCAGGTCATGATCTCAGGAGCCTGGGATCGAGCCCCGCATGGCATCAGGCTCTCTGCTCAGCAGGGAGCCTGCTTCCCCTTCTCTCTCTGCCTGTCTCTCTGCCTACTTGTGATCTCTCTGTCAAATAAATGAATAAAATTTTTAAAAACAAAAAAACAACACTGTCTTTTTAAATGAAATGCCCTAGAAAAATTGATATGATATTAATATTAATATATTCCATATATCTTAAATAACTGATGTGCTTTTTACCTCATGAGGTTTTATAAATTGTGACAATAACAAAACTTCTCTTTTCCCTTTGAAAATGCAGAGCCAAATTTGTGGCCTACCTGAGCAAGTATGTACCTTCAAATGGCAGGCATTATTATTTCTCTGTACTCCTACTCGTGGTTTTGGTTTTTTTTAGATTTTATTTAAATTTAAGTTAGTTAACATATAGGTATATTATTAGTTTCAGGGGTAGAATTTAGTGATTCATCAGTTGCATATAACACCCAGTGCTCCTTATATCAAGTGCCCTCCTGTCTACTCATGTTTTTATTAACTTATGTTTTCTTGTATTATATATATGCTTTCAAGCTGCCTTAAAGTTTTAATATAACAAAGAAGAAAACAAACAGGTGAATGAATGAACGAATGAATACTGCTCTTGAAACTCTGTTTTCTCAAATGATTCAGAGTAACTATTTAACTAAATTTTTCTTAGCTTGAAAAGGTGAATGAAAATGACTGTTTTACTTTTTTTTTTTTTAAAGATTTTATTTATTTATTTGAGAGACAGCATACAAGAGAGGTAGAGAGGGAGACTCCCTGCTGAGCAAGGCCCCTGATGCAGGGCTAGATCCCAGTACCCTGAGATCATGACCTGAGCCAAAGGGCAGACACTTAGCCAACTGAGCCACTGAAGCTTTTAAATATCTTAAAAGCTACTTTTTAAGTACTTTAATTTAAATCACAAAAATATAGAAATCACTGAAATAAGTGATTGTTTTGGATAATTAAAAATAGCTTAGCTATATAAAAATATATGTATTTCTGAACCAATATAAACACAAAACATTATTCTTTTAGAATTCTAAGAAATTAAACCAATAACCCGGTGCAGAGTTAACTGGTTTTATTTCAAAATTCATTAATCTACATATTTATTTTAGGTCCTCTATAAAATACTGTGCTGCACTGCGTATGGTTCTAGAATGTTTCTGTTCTGCTCTACAGAGCAACATTATTTACAACCTTTACTAAGATTATCTGTTGGCTAGAATTTGCACATCTGTTATTAATGTTCTTTACCAAAACATTCCTTAGTGACTGCTTGCCAATACACTTTGGTGTTGATATTTTGAGGTATTAATTTATATATTAACTCATACTCAAAAGTAAGCTGTTGAAATAAAATTTCAACATTTCATTATGCCTGCCTGATAGTTATTAAATACCTGGCAACAAAGGCACAACATGTTCTCTATCTGATGTTCTCTTATGTTGCCAAGAGAAGTTTTCTTATATACTTGAGTTAAATTTATGTACAATTACTCTATCTGTGTTATAAATAGGTTGGTTTATTGCTACAAAGACCTCAACTCTAATGTTTTATTTAGATAAAACTACGTAATTCAATTCCACAACTACATCTATTATATAAAAAGTATGATACCAAGAACTGTTAAAATAATCACATAAAAAATAAGTACATAGGATGACAGGTTACTTATACTGCATAGTGGCTCAATAATTAATAAGACATTTTAAACTCTACTTTGGTTTAAACTCTACTTTTGGTTTTCACTATATTATATAGCATTGTTGTTAAGAAGATATGAGACAAAAAGGTAAAATCATCTTTAAAAAGCATAAAATATTACACAACTACAGGAAAATATATTCCATTATTCTATTGAAAACCTGGTTCATTAAGAGATGTTTCTAGAGTACTTTGATAGTGTTCTGGGTTTTATTCCAAATATGGATAATCCCTATCACAATTCCAGTGGCTTCTACTATATTCTTCCTATTTCAGCGTGATAACAATTTGGAGTAACAGTTTTGGTATAGGTCTCCTAGCTACATAATTAAAACAAAAACAGTAAAACTCTTGTAATAGGTTTGTTTGTGTGTATGAATATTTAAAGGAAAGAGGAAAGCATTATTTTATAATTTGGGTAGCATCTGGCTCTGAAATCAGAAAGACTTAAGCTCAAATATCTGCTTACCTTCTTACTAACTATCCCATATTGGCTCGTGTTAAGCAACCATATCTTATAGATCCAAATTCTAGTTTTTCTGTTTACATCCTAACTTTTCTGCAGCATAATTCCTGGCACATAGTACATTTACTGCAGAGAGTAGTTGTTAATAAATAGATATGTATGTGTGGGCAGGCATGTACTTTTTTTTTTTTTTTTTTGACAGAGACAGACACAGCGAGAGAGGGAACACAAGTAGCGGGAGTGGGAGAGGGAGAAGCAGGCTTCGCGCCTAGCAGAGAGCCCAATGCAAGGCTCGATCCCAGGACCCCGGGATCAGGACCTGAGCCGAAGGCAGACGTTTAACGACTGAGCCACCCAGGCGCCCCTGTATTGTCCTTTTAAAGTTAACAACTAGAAATCCAATTTCTTTGCCTAATGTTTCTGAAATAAATATTTTGAACCAAATTTGCTAATGAAAATATATAAATTGTACTTAAGAAAAACAACCAATCCTACCTTTACACTGCATTCCTTGGCGAAAGAGGCCTTTCAGTAACCGCTTGCAGTACTGACATATTGTGGGACGGGTGTAAGAGTGAACAGCAAATGTGTGTGGAACTTTGACTCTGCACATTACCATCTTTTCCATCCAGATTGGGCGACCACTCCAAGAAGGAATTCTCTTACTTGGTTCTTGGTGAACATGTGACTAAAACATGAGTAATTTTCATAAGTATAAGTCAAAATTAAAAACACAGTATTAAGAGCAGGATTTGACCACAAAAGTCATTTACATTGGACATTAAAGCCAAGAATCTAAAAATGCACATCTCAGCAGTTTCCTCTGGAAGCTTAACTTACCAACACTTGAATGTGAACACTGGATTTTTTGTTATTATTTATGCTAAAAAAAAAGAGTTTTCCTCTTCACATGTGTATATTCACTGTAAACTACTTTTGCTAGGCACGTACCGCATTTTACAGATAAAAAACAAAAGCCTTAGAACGAACTTATGACATATTTAAATCCCTTGAAAAACATTACCGAGAAATTAATCATAGGAAAACTAAATTCAGAAAGTGTTATTACTCATGTAGAATTACTGAACATGTCTGAAAATATTTTGAAACAAATCTTGGTTTTTCAAATTTATTTTTATAAATTCTAAAATATGTTTGTTAAAAACTTTAGTCTAATTAATGATGATGAAAAAAAAATGGCAGATACAAATTAGCCAAAACAACATTAGCCCCAGGACTTATGCTTTAGGAGGTTCCTTGATATTTAAGTATTTTCTAGTTATTTGGGCCTTTTCCCCTAGATAAGCAAAAAAGGAATATTAAAGGTGTTGATTAAAAATTTTTGTGTAACCTGGGGGATAACTAGATATTTGTAGCTATGGTACTTTCTATATATACAAAAGAAATAAATTAAATTACAGGCCAGTTCAATATGGCCCATGCCATTCACTCAACCTTCACTGATTATTATATTATAGGCCAAACCCGACACTTTGTATCACAGAAGCAAAAATGAAGTACAGTCCATGTTCTCAAGCACAAAATACCTAACAACCATCTAGATGCATTATACATTTTGCTGTAGCTGCTTGCACCTTCACTGCCAGAACTGAGGTCCTGAGATCTTTCTTATGCCTTCCATAACTAGTCATGTCTGTAGCCCAGAGAAGTTGAATCAGTCTACGAAGGTATGTTCAACCAATAAAAGCAAAAGAAGCCAGAAGCAGCTAGGAGACAGAAGTGTATGAAAGAAATGAAGGGAAGAAGGGGGGAAATAAAGGCTTTTTGGAAGAAAGCAGGAAGGCAGAAAAGAAGAATAAAGGACATACAAATGGAGGAAAGCATTATTAAAAAGAACATAAATACAGTCTCTGATGGATGGTTTTTCACTAATGTGTTGCCATAAAAGTTCTAAAACAAATTATGAAGCAGTTTAATATGAGAAAAGTAAAAAAAGAAGGTTAAAACCCAAGCCAAACTTGCTTGCCTGCTTCAGCTCCCCAAGGTCTCCTGCTCTGGTCTGGCTCACCCTTCTATCAGGCAGCCAGGTACAGAGCACCTTCAGCAAAATAAGCACCACAGTGATCCTGCAAAGCTAATCAAGAAGCCAGCAAGAACCAGAAACAGATGTTGTAGGCTTTTGTTCATCCCTGGGTCCCTATTCTCAACAGTCTTTTCTTGCTCCTGCTCCTACCACTTTTGGTTTGTCTCAAGTTTCAAACATACAAGACGGAATAAGATTGATTTTGCCAGTCATCATCAAGTATACAGGATACCCTGGCAAGGCAGAACTTTCCTAACATATCCCTTCATATGCCAATGGCCAGCTGGTGACTCATTGCCTTTTGTCAGATCCTCCTGGGACTGGTATTAGGGACATGGTACACAGTACATATGCAAGGAACTACACATGGGACTGCGGTTGTAGCAGCCACCTAATTTTTCATGTCTAGTACAAGCAGTAGTTTAAATATGAAAAACGAGGCTCTAAGATTAATATTACTAAGTCCTAGTATCAAAATCAAGATCTAGCCCTCAGTCTTCTACATAGAAGTCCAGTGATTCTTAATCTTTCCCCAACTCAACATACCTTGGCATATGCTACAATCTCATTAATGACTGTGGTTTACCACTCTGTGGAATGAGGAAGGCAGGAAAGGTATGGAATACTGAACCAGAATTTGGAGGAAGGAGGGCACTGGTAAAATTACCTGGAGCATTTGGTGAAAATGGGACCACTGAGATTAGAGTAACTAGAGTTGAATGAAAATTCTTCTCTTGCCTTGCTTTAATGGTCCCTCTTTATAAACTATTAAATTCTTATTTCTTATTAATGTGTAGCTGGAAATTCTCTAAAAGTGATCAAATTATTTCCACAGTGTGAGTTTCAACTAATATTTGCTGAAGTGAACATCTGTTCACAAAAACTTTATAACAATGTTGCCAATTCTCAATTAGGTGCAATAATAAAGGCAATAAAAGCATGTAAAGGGGCAATTCCCTAATTATATATATTTCACTTTGGAATATTATTCAATGAAAAAAATACCCCCACTTTTATGCATACAATTAGCCCCAACAGTTTCTTTCTACCTTGATTCTGTCCTGTCTTGGCCCCTTGGGCATTTGCCTAATGTGCTGCTAGGAATATTCCCCTTTCTCTCATCTCCAAAGAGCCATCACTCAATTCTTGTCTCTCCAACATTAGTGGTCCTGTTGTAACCAAATTCAGTGAAAAGCCTATCTTCTTGTGCTCCTCCCTCTCTTTACTTGCTTCCCTTTAGACTGACTGCAGATACTCTAACAGAAACTGCCTTCTTACATGTAAATGATGACAACCTCAGAGTCAGATTCAGAAGTTTTTATTCCCAACTGGCCTTTTCCAAGCTTATATCAGAAGTCAGTGAAGGTTAATATCGTGACCACTCAGAAACTTTCCTTCCTCATTCCTCATCTATAAAATGAAGATAAGAGCTGCCTACCTTCTAGGACTGTCATGAAGATGACATGAGAAAATACAAGTACAGCATCCAGCATGAAGCCTGCACACAGAATTTAGGAGGCTCTCACCATGTGGCAATTTGGAGTTAGTTCTTCTCTCACTTTGGTTCAGATCAAGGTTGCACTCATTTCCTCATTGCTATCTCCTCTATTCCTTTAGAGTGTCCTCTTTTTCTACTCTCCCTTCCCTCCAATTTTCCTCCATGAGCTCTTCTTTTACTTTACCTTTTTCCTTTTTAAGACTGAATGCTTGGGACTGATAAAAGCAACCTTTTTTGAGAAATGATTTCTACTCGCTCTGAAATACTCTGCACAACCTAACCAACACAAACATATCACTCTATATTCTTCTACTTCCCTAAGGAATTTTCATCTTCAGGATAAAATATAAACTAATGAATTAAAACTTAATACATTATTCATTTGCTCTGTCCTGCTATTTCCTAATCTAGTATTACTCATCTGGGGTAGCTGGCATCTCAGCATCATTTGTGGGACTCTTAAAAAAAATATCTCTATCCTATGGACCTCACTCCTAAGTTTCCCATGCAGTTCATCTATAAAATGTACTAACTTTTCAATTACCAGACTTTCCCCCAACTCTTGCATATGTTTATAATAACTCTTTGCTCTCAGTTCATTGTACCATAGCATTCTTGTTTTTTAAGGTAAACACCTCACATCAAGGCTAAACAACATGGGAACATGGGATTTTTGTGAAAGAACTTCAGATGCTTTTATTCTGATGCCTCAGTATAGCAAAATCTTGTGACTAGGATATCAGGACAATAGCCCAAAAGCTTGATTTTGCCATTAATTTATGGAAGACCAAGGAGGTTACAGAAACAACTAAATTATAAGACTGCAATCTACAGATGGAGGTCACTTTAAGTACTAGCAAATGAACAAGCAAGTTATTTTTTCTTCCCTGATTTACTGTCTTACTCTTCAGAGGTATGATATACTAGGGAAAAAAATCAATAACCCAAAAATAATCTGATCTGGATTTAATTCTAATGTTGCTTACCAATTTGCTCTGTGACTTGAGTCAAGTTACTACTTGACCATTATTAGTCTCAACTGTCTCATTATGTATACATCTACTAAGATATCTCACTGGAATATTGTGTGGATCAATATGTTCATTCATTCCTCACTGAATACCTACTAATTACAAGGTATTGTGCTGGGCATGGTAGGGCACACAAACACATGAGTACTATCTTTTCTAAACAGATCATAAATTCCTTGAGGACACTATGATATTAAGTTAGAATGTTATACACACCATTAGCAAGGTTTGAAAAGTGGTCTCGCATTCAGCAAATAAAATAACTTCTAGGTTAAGGGAAAAAATCCAGGAAAGGCAGCTGTTGAGCTAGATCTGGAAAAAGCATGTAGGAGGGACACCAATAAAAGCAAAGGTAGAGGGAGCAATGGTGTGTTCAGGGAATGTTGAATAGAACAGACTGCTGGGGTTGGGGGAACAGAATGTTGGAAATCTAGGATATATAAAGGCTTCCTAGTGGGGAGTGATGTAATCAGAGTTGTGTATGAAGCTGTAGTGAAATAAAATGATCGGGCTCTTGTATGTAAGATGAAGTGAAGTATGGGAACCAGAAGCTAGACACTGGTAAGGAGGCTAATGCAGTGGTCCAAGTGATAATGTGGTCCCAAAGTAGATAAAAGGTAATTCATTACTACTAGTAAACTCTGTCTCCAGTAATACATGTTAAGTTTTTCAAGTGTAGGAATGTGAGTAGTCTTTAGTACATAATTTATATTCTGGGATGATGTCATATATCCTTTAGAAACATAAGGAATAAGTAGTAAAATGCTCTTTTATTGCCTTAAAATACATACCTCTTCTGTGGGAAGGGCTACATATTCAGTCTGTAGAAGTCTTGGAACTGAGAGGCCAGGTCCTGGCAGAGACACATTTGATAGACGTCTCTTTCTTACTCCACTGCAATTATTTGGAATCTTGAAGGCACATCGTTTATGATAATTTAATCCACAGCCTAAATATATTTTAAAGGTAAAAAAAATAATAGATCAAAGAAACTTAAGGGACGCCTGGGTGGCTCAGTTGTTAAGAGTCTGCATTCAGCTCGTCATGACTGCAGGGTCCTGGGATCGAGCCCCACATCAGGGGAATCTGCTTCTCCTTTTCCTGCTGCTCCCCCTGCTTGTACGTGCACTCTCTCTGACAAATAAATAAAATCTTTTAAAAAAAGTTTTTTAAATTTTAATATATACACATTTATATATTAAAGTTTTAATTATATAATTTTAATTATATTTATAATGTATTTATATACATGATTATAAAAGTATATTTATAAAATTATATATTATAATTTTAATTATAAAAATTTTATAATATATTTATATATAATTTATATATTATAAAATTTATGATATATTTATATAATTATAATTATAAGAATTTTAAATAATTTTATAGTAATACTTTTTAGTAATTTTATGACATATAAATACATACTTATAATAATATATAAAGTATGTTACATAAAAAATACATGCTTCTTTTATTTAATTTCTTTTCTTTGGCAGCAATAGTTATCCTAATTGAGAACCTAGAAGACAAGCTAAGTGAAGCCAAAAAATTCAATATAAATTACTGGGCTCCACATGACTAACTGAATCAGAAATTCTGGGGATGGGACCCAGCAAAGTATGCTTTAACAAGTCCTTGTGGTGATTCCGATACTTGGCAAAGTTTGAGAACAACTAACCTAAACACCAGCAAACTGTGGACTGTATACTAAACCCTCCCCATGACATGTGAAAGTTACATGAAATCCAAATTTCAGTGTTCATAATTCATTTTATTGAAATGCAGCATGCTCCTCGTTTCTTTACATCTTGTTTATAGCTTTCAGGGCACACAAGCAGAGTTAAGTAGTTGTGGCAGAGACTATTAGCCAACAAAACTTAAAATATTTAATTTCTGGCCCTTTACAGAAAAACTTTATTGATTCTCCACCTTTAATACTTAAGAGGACTCAGAAATGTGCACCTGACTCCTGTGACAATTTAAATTCAGAAAAACAGATCTGTCCAATTCTAAACCCTAGTTACCACCTAGTCACCAACTGAGGATCTCTCTTTTTTTTTTTAAGATTTTATTTTTCAGAGAGAGAGAGAAAGCACAGCACGTGTACGTGCACACATGCACAAGGCTGGGGGAGGGGCAAAGAAAGAGGGAGAAGCAAACTCCCTGTCAAACAGGGAGCCCAATGCGGGGCGGGATCCCAGGACCCTGAGTTCATGATCTGAGAGGAAGGCAGACACTTAACCGACTGAACCACCCAGGCACCCCTGATCTTATTCTTTCATTAATGATCAGAAAATGCAAATACAAAATCCTATTTCAAACGGTACAAAAACTTAGAACACATACCTTCACACTTCAGTCCTTGACGTACCAATCCCCAGAGCATCTCACCACAATAATCACAAAAAGTGGGAGCTTTATAAGAATGTACGTACAGAGTATGTGGACGAATCTGGAAGTCTTCTACTGTAGCCAAAGCTTTTTAAAAAGAAAAGTAGCCAAATAAGCCCTACATTTGTAATTGCAATGAGATTAAGAACGCTGACCATATTCATGTCAAAGTACACGGAATCTTTTTTCTCTGAAAGCTTCATTTATCATAAAAAATAATTTATCTTCAGCATTTAATATTGTGGTTTTCAAACTATTTTAGGAAGTTCATCAACTCCAAATAACTTGAGCTCCAAAACCAGGTCTGCAGGTAGGTATTTCAACCTCCAAAAACATATTTAACATAGTGACAAGATCACAAATAGTCGGTAGGTCTCTTTTTACAATTAAAAACTGTTTAACTTATAACACACTGGGAAACAGAACATTAAAGTAAAAAAAAAAGGGGGGGGCAAAAAGTAAAAACCGTAAAACCCGTGGAAACTATGGAACTTAATCTCAATGGTAAACACTCTGAGTTCCAACTTAGGATCTCAACATAAGTTTTCTGTCTTCTCAATAGTCCTAGTAGTTAAGAAAAAAAGACTCCCCTCCTCTCTGCGAGCAACTGAACAAGTAGACACAAACACCGGTAGCCATTCTCTCACCTCCACCTGTAAGTCATTAGTGGATATCCCTGTGTTCTGATGGGCCTGATGAAGGGTCCAGAGCAAAGAAGGAACAGATAGGAGGATGACCTCCAGGGAGGACAAGGAGTAAAGCCCTCCTGGAGTGGAGAGAAAGACAGGGATTGGGAAATTTACACATGATGGGGTGGTGTTGCAGATGCATGATTAATGGAGGGGCCAGATGAATGGAAAGGATCAAGGACCAATAAGGAAAGGTGTTGGTAGGGAGGATCTCAAGAACAGGCTGCAGAGATGAGTCTGAGAAGTGGAAAAAATGGAGGCAGGAGTCTGGACTCTTGGCTGGCTTTCCTTTTTTTCTTCCCTTTCTCTCACTCTTCTCTCTCTCCTTCTCTCCCTCCCTCCTTTCCTGTCAAACAAGAAGTTCTGCAGGACTACTAGGTGCATTCGTTGTTCTCTTACATTCCCCGCCAACAATCCTGCCCATCTGCTGTTGGATGAGGTCAGAAATAGAAGGAGCTAAGGAACGACAAGAGTGGATGAGGGGGAAAGGGAGGGAGGTAAGAAAATGCCCACTGAGAACACACAGGGAAGGAGCAATACTGAAATCATGGGAACAATCAGTATCACAGTTTCCATTTCCACATCTTCATTATTTATTCTTTTTCTCCTTTCATTTCTGAACCCCAATTCTCTTCTTCTATGCTCTTCACAGAAATGGGGAAAATGAAATTGAATTTCAGTATAATTATTTTATTTCTTTGATTCAAAAAGTATATTCCTCTTCCAGTTCCAATGATAATTCCCTTAGCTTAGGAACATTCGGATAAACAATTCAGGGCTTATTTTCCTACTTTCTCATCTGTGACATAACCTTCCTGAAGGGAAAACTCACATGGTCACCGTTATTATAGAAGAAGTTAAGCAACTGTAGCACAAAGACTAACTGAACATAGCATTTAGTAGAAAAAATAAGGCTCATTCAAAAAAATAAAAAATAAAAGGAGTTATTTACTTACCTGAAAGAACAACTTCTACTAGGTCTCCTTCATGTATTTCATCTGCTGAGGTAATCAGCTGCAAAATGTTTTCTGAGTTCATGTCATGGCGAAAGAGAAGAATTTTGTCATACATGCCAAAGAATCCACACTCTGGAAACTACAGGAGAAGAGTCCTATATCAGCATACCCACAGGTTTCCATTTTTATGAGTAAATGTCTCAATCTTATGAAAGAACCTTACATGTGGTTTTTAGCCTAACACTGTCTGCTAACAATTCTATTAATATCTAAAAGATCAACCATGGATTCAAGCATCCTTGGTTCATTTTCAAGTTCAAAAATAGAACAGTAGGGGCTCTTGAGTGGCTCAGTGGGTTAAGTCTCTGCCTTGGGCTCAGATCATGGTCTCAGGGTCCTGGGATTAAGCCCCGCATTGGGCTCTCTGCTCAGCAGGGAGCCTGCTTCCCCCCACCCTCTGCCTTCCTACTTGTGATCTCTCTGTCAAATAAATAAAATCTTAAAAAAAAAAAAAAAACAAAACAGAACAGTAAATTTAACTACAATTATTTTTTTAAGCACATGTCTCTTAGAAATATAGGATTTCCGGGACACCTGGGTGGCTCAGTCTGTTAAGCTGCGGCCTCCGGCTCAGGTCATGATCCCAGGGTTCTGGGATCAAGTCCCACATCGGGCTCCCTGCTCAGCAGGTAGCCTGCTTCTCTCTCTGCCTCTGCCTGCCTCTCTGCCTACTTGTGATCTCTCACTCTCTCTCTCTGACAAATAAATAAATAAATACAATCTTAAAAAAATATATATAGGATTTCCTTTTTCAGTTATTGATGGAGACTATAATCTTGAATTTAACTGCTACTCTATCTTACATTGCCTGAGATATACAGTCTTTCCTGTCCTCTAGAACTGAGCTTCCTCTATAGCTACTAGCCATATGCGGCTAAATTAAAATTAGTTAAAATTAAATAAAATGAAAAGTTCAGCTCCTCAGTCACTCTGACCACACTGCATGCACTTAATCACCACCCTAGCTACTGGCTTGTCTATCATTTTGGACTATGCAGATATAGAACACTTTCATCATCACTTTAAAATCTACTGAACGGACCTAGTAGATTAATAATTCCCAAACTACCGTCACAAGGGGCACCTGGGTGGCTCAGTGGGTTAAAGCCTCTGCCTTCGGCTCAGGTCATGATCCCAGGGTCCTGGGATCGAGCCCCGCATCGGGCTCTCTGACCTGCAGAAAGCCTGCTTCCTCCTCTCTCTCTGCCTGCCTCTCTGCCTACTTGTGATCTCTGTCTGTCAAATAAATAAATAAAATCTTAAAAAAAAAAAAAAAAAAACAACCTACCGTCACAAGAGTATCAATTCCAACATTTTTGACAAATACACCTATGGCCTCTAGCATCTAATACTTTCTTTACTCACTATAATTACAAATACATGATTTTTATGGTAACTTTCTTTTTACTATTTTTTAAAAAATATATGTATTTAGTTGAGAGAGAAAGAGGGAGGAAGGGAGAGAGCCCATTAGTGGGAGGGGCAGATGGAGAGGGAGAAAAATTAACAAGCAGATTCTGCACTAAGCATGGAGCCCGACACAGGGCTTGATCCCAGTACCCTGAGATCATGACCTGAGCCGAAATCAAGAGTTGGACGCTAAACTGACTGCAACACCCAGGTGCCCTGGTAACTTTTTAAAAAACCTTTGACCAGAACAGGAGACTTAGAGATCTGTTCACATGCCCTATGTATATTATTTCAAGGCTTCTACACTTTGTGACTACAGAGCTGACACTGTGGGTATTGGCATACCACTAAAATATGAAGGTATGAGCCCTAACAGTTTTTATAGTTAATGAAGTTATTTAAGAGAAAATTTTAAATATTTGCCTTACAAAATAACTTTAATTTCTAAATCAAGATCAAGATCATCTAAAACACCAGTGCCCTGAGAAATGCTGCTCCAGGTATTTCAATTTTCTTCAGTTTATCTCAGATTTGGATACCCTCATTGACTTATTTGGCTCCTCAGAGAATATCCTTTAATGTACTATACAGTATGTCACTAGCCTGCACTGAATGGCTTGATACGTATGTCACACTAAACCATAATTGCATTTATTGGAGGGATGTTGCTGAGGATATGTTCATTTACTTCAAGAATGGTAGCCCTTCTCCGTGAGGACTCTTTAAAAGGAATTTCTCTGGTTGGTTCTATAATATGAACAATCTGATCATCCAATTAATCATGTTTTCTGTTTACTTCACTCACTGGGAAAAACAAAGCTAAATTTGTGGCCCACTTCTAACATGAGTTTAGGATCTTACAGCATGTGTTTTAGGTGGAAATGCCTTCTTATCTTCTGAACTTAATTTTCCCATTAAAAATCCTTATATAGGTATATGTCTACAAATGTCTAAATTTTATTGGAAAATTACTAAAATTAAAAAATTGGAAACAATGACTTAATTAGAAATTTGAGTCAATTTGAATTTTTTTTAAACCTGAGTAAATAATGAAAAAGTACAGAAATATTTGGAGTTTTTATAATATCCTACTTTCAACTGAGTTACCAATAATACTAACAAAACTTTATAATACGCTTTAAATATATATCTAACAGTGTAACAATTTTCAATTGAAAAGCTAGGGAGTAAAAATACAGAATCAAAAAAATATTTTTATTATATTTTAAAGTTTGAAATGAAAATTTTATAAAATTTTATTAAGTATTATCAAATTAGAAAACATTTAATAGGAATAAAACATCTCCATAAATTAGTTGCAACAGTTCTTATGTATTAAGAACTTAAGTATTAATAAAGAAAAGTTTCCAGGGCGCCTGGGTGGCTCAGTCTGTCAAGCGGCTGCCTTCAGCCCAGGTCATGATCCCAGGGTCCTGGGATCAAGCCCAGTATCCCAGTATAGGGCTCACTGCTTGGCAGGTGCCTGCTTTTCTCTCTCCCTCTGCTTGCCACTCCCCCTGCTTATTCACTTTCACTCTTCCATGAACAAAATCATTAAAAAAAAAAAATTCCACATTCCATCCTTATATAAAAATGACTAACAAGGGATGCCTGGGTGGCACAGTTGGTTTAGTGTCTGTCTTCAGCTCAGGTCATGATCCCAGAGTCCTGGGATCAACCCTCTCCCTTGCCCCTCCCCCCGCTCCTGTTCACACTCTCTCTCTCAAATAGATAAAATCTTAAAAAAAAATTATTTTTATATGAATAAAACTCATTTTTAAAAGTTCCACATTTTTTTTTATGTCTTCTGAGTGCAAAGCATTGTTCCCATGGTATGTAAAGTTAAGGCAGACCTCCCCTCCCAGAAGTTTACAATCTAGTAGAAAGATGGTAATAAAAGAAATCAATAACATAGTAAAGGAAATACCAAAAATGAAAAATAAATAAAATTCTAGAAGAAGGGAAAAAAACTTTAACCAAGAATGTGGAATGTCACTGAAACTGTGATAAAAAAGGGAAGCAAGGTTTCCATGGGCAGAAAGTGAAAGTGAAAGTATAAAGGTCGTAGTTGAGAAAACACATAAACGGAAGAAAGTTAAGTGGACCCCTATGACTGAAGAACGAGGCAAGGGCTGGGGTAGAAAGAGGACAAAAAGGCACACAGGAGCCCCATGGAGACTATACTTAAGAAAGAAACTTGGGAGTCATCAGAATGGGGTGCAGGCATTGCCACCTACTAACTACAGCACCTTAGATAAGCTGCTTAACCTCCCTATGCTGTTTCTTATCTGTAAATTTGGAGTAACAGCAATACTGGCTTTATAGGGTTCTGGTCAAAATTTATGTATTTAATGACATAAAGTAGTACCATGATCAGTAAATACGAGTGGTTCTTTTTATTTTACATCTAAAAGGGGAGAGACAAAAAATCCCAGAGCAAGGCAGTGACGCGATCAAATCTGTATCTTAAAAAGATAATGCTGACATGTAGTAGGGACTGAAACAGGAAGAGACTAGAGCAAGCTCCTAAAGAAGGCTGAAGCTACTGGTCAGGAAAGAGGTAGCAGGGTCTGGATTATTCAGTAAGGAGATGGAAAGCAAGACAAGAAGGAACACTTCTCTCTCAAATCTATCTTTGGTAAATTACATGGATTATTAGTATTGTTTTGACCAAGCCAGAAGTCCCGATAACTAAAGAGCTAAATAAACACATTAATGAAAGAAGAAAACATCAAAAAAATGTGTGGCTTAGAAAAAAAATACATATAAAATCATCTTCTTGATAAACACACGACCCAGTGAATTCATACTAGCATTATTAAGAAATTGAAGCACAAATAAAAATGACAGGGAGTGTATTAAGAATATTTACTTAAGGGGCACCTGGGTGGCTCAGTGGGTTAAGCCGCTGCCTTCGGCTCAGGTCATGATCTCAGGGTCCTGGGATCGAGCCCCGCATCGGGCTCCTTGCTCAGTGGGGAGCCTGCTTCTCTCTCTGCCTCTGCCTGCCTCTCTGCCTGCTTGTGCTCTCTCTCTCTCTCTGTGTAATAAATAAATAAATAAAATCTTTAAAAAAAAAAAAAAAAAAGAATATTTACTTAAAATAAGCATTTGTGAACCAGGCTGGAAAGCCTTCAGTGATGATAAAAAATGAAGTAATTTTCTAGTCTAGCAAATGTTTACATAAACTATATTCATCTATATGGTTGAGAAATTATAGAGTTCCAGAGGGGAAAATGTACTAAAAAGCTTGTAAAAAATAAATATCTCCTATTCACAATTATGATTTGTAAGTATGACTTGGTAGGATATTTAGGAATCATCTGAGGAGTCAGCACAAAATGAAGTAACAGAAAATAGCGCCTAAAAAAAAGGCAAGACACTATTAAACGTTGCCACTGAACATCAGCAAAAAACTGTAGCCAAGTTTTAAAAAACACTATGAAGTCTTGAGACATGGGTATGTTAAATATCTACAAAGAAGAAACAAGGGAAAAAAAAGAAGAAACAAGGAAACAAGGAAATAAACCATGAGCACACACTTTGAAAGATCTAAACAATTATTCAGAGAAAAACCCATACAAAAAAACAAAAAAACAAAACCCTGCTAATAATGATTTGAACTTACCACTATTGACACTTCATAACTTTTATAACAACTCAGAGAGG